CTCAACGACTGCCCAACGCCAAGGATTCCATCTGGAAGGGACGCCTAACGAACAACCTCGGTCCGACAACGAAGAACATGGCAACCATCCATTGGGAGTGCAGGTCAGGATGATTCGCAAGAGCGGCATGATATTGAAGTCAGTAGTCGTAGGAATCGGGCGGAGAAGAAGCTTCAGTTGAAGGATGTTCGGTTCGATAGCAGGCCCCGGACTGCGTTCTCCAACTACGACATGGATAAGAAACTCTCATGCCAACCGCACTGCACTCTCCCGTGATTGCATATCAGGATCGCATCGTCGTCATATCGTTCGTGATATCTCCACCTCCACCAAAGCCGGACGAACGATGGTCTCACCACGGGAGGGGAACGCTTGCTGAGAGGATATGGGCATGCTGTTCACGGGGCTGTCGTCTTTATACTGGCAATTATGGATCTCGCTATACGTGTCGTTCTACGCCGCTACAATCCTTCACCGACGTTCACCGCCTTCTTCCATCGTGGCCATGGCTTTATATCGACTAGCGGGTGGACCCTTACCCAGATGGGCCCGGATCCACTATCAAGGAACCGAGGAACGACTTCTTTTTCTGATCAATAGCTGACATGCTTTTCTCGCAGATTGTCTACTCCTAGCTGTACCTGCTTCCCCCAGCGCCGAAAAGGACTTGCACTGTTCGTACTCATCATCAACGCCATCTCCGACTCCGGGCTCACACTAGCCTAGATCTCAGTTGCCAGTACTGGAATCTCTTGATTCCATCTCTCGGCTCCATACCCCTAGCCCGGCGGACTCGTTAGCTCGTGCTCTGCCCTACGACCTCCCCTTTCACTAAGGGACCTACGAGACCGCGTCAATCAGTCTTCTGGATGCTATCAGTGCCTTCTTCGACTTCTTCCGCTGTCTTATTTGTGTTTTTGTACACTCCATTCGCTCACTAACATAATAGTATTAATTCTGCAAAGGTATGGACTTCGTTCGCATTTGTCTGTGTAACGATCGCTAACCGGACTGGTCCAGGCTCTGTCTACTGTAATACGATCGATCCTCAGTACTAAAGGATCACCGACAACAGACCTACCTTACATACCAGCTAATCACACTCTTTGTACCTGTTGCCTTTCAGGCTGCCACTCTCTAATCCGGCTCACCATTCGAAGCTGTCCACTCACTAAATACCCTTCACCCCAACCGACCACGTCTATCCCGGAGACCTGACGACTACATCATCAATATGGCGTACCACCAGCAACCGCAACAGTCCCGCTACGGCCAGTGCGATTCGTACTTTGTCGAGTCTCATGATGATGGCATCTATGCCATGCGAGCAGAGGCCAGAGAACGCCATCGCGCTGTTTCCAAGATGCAACAACGAGCAATCGCTGAGGAACTCTCAAGGCAGACCGCCGATGAGTACCAAGAAGACATTATGCAACACATGATCCACATGGAGTCACAGACTCTACCTGACGTCAACTCAATCGACATCCAGACAGAGATCCAGTGGTTCATGCGCCCATACCTCCTTGACTTCTTAGTCGAAGCTCATGCTGCTTTCCAGTTGTTGCCCGAGACCCTTTTCCTCGCTGTCAACCTTCTCGACCGCTACTGCTCTCGCCGTGTTGTCTACAAGCGTCACTACCAGCTCGTTGGCTGCGCAGCCCTGCTCATTGCCGCCAAGTACGGCGACAAGAAGGACCGTGTCCCGACCGTTCGGGAGCTGAAGTCCATGTGCTGCTCGCTGTACGACGATGAAATGTTCACCCAGATGGAGTGGCACGTTCTGCAAACTCTTAACTGGGTCATTGGTCACACCACGGTAGATGCCTTCCTCCAGATCGCCCTGTCGGAGGCCCCCTACGATGCTGAGGTTGAGCACATGACTCTTTACATCGCCGAGATCGCTCTCTTCCACAAGGAGTTCGTCTCTACTCGACCATCTGTCCTTGCCCGATCCGCCCTCGCCCTTGCGAGATGTGTCCTGTCCCGACCTCAAGCACGCAACACAGATTGGTCTGGTGCTTACGACCCCCAAACAGTCATTGGTCTGTCCAACCATCTCTACCAGCCATCTCCGGTACTTTCCCGCAAGTATGCTTCCATGCATCTGTCAACCGTATCCGCCACCGTCGAGGAGTTCCTCCAAAGGCAAGCGCAGATTGCGCGACGACAAGCCGCCCCACCCACACCGCCACCGACCGTCACCATCGAGGAGCCTAAGCCTATCGTCACTGTGAACACTTACGGACCCCAGACGCCCAACAAGAACCCATACGGCTCTGTCATGCACAATGGATGTCCCACACCGCCCATCACACCGGAGGGCGAGCACTTCACCTACGGCCACGTCGTCAAGTCGCAGCCCACTTCGATGTACCCCACGACTCCCACTCCGGATCATCCGGCGAACGCGCAACATCAAGGTCAATACTTCCACCAACAATACCTCCATCCCCAGCATGTCCAGTAAATTACCGCGCCTGGCAGTGGTTGTACACCATCACTGTCGAAAAAATTCAACTGCCATGGACTGTTATGATCACATCCATGTGTGCTCCGTTGTACCAAAAATACTCGCGTATGAGCGTCATAGCATGGTCATTTCTTCCAGCATTTACAAGCGTCTGTTACTGTTATTTTGCGATATCAAAGACGTCACTTTTCTGTTTCGAGCATTTCTTTTGTTAGGTCCGACCAAAAATTAAACGGTCGTCCACTGTCATTTCCGCACGGCAGCCAGTCCTGTGGTTTTGGTGAGTGGAGCCCAGGTCAGGTCCGGCACCCTTTCTTCTTGGATTTAGCATCCATCTAATACGGGTTGTTTGATCTGGTCTGCAGCATGTGGGGAGGAAAAAGTGGCTACAGGCTGAAATTGGAATACACAAGCCAGCACAATCAGGCTCACTCGCAACTGTTGTTTGCTTAAGCGAGCAGAGATACCCTTCCTTTCTCAATTCAAAACTTTTATCGGACACCTCATTTGATCCATGGGCGTCTACTTTCCTTTTGCATAAGCGGTGGAACGGTGAAAAAAATGTGTGAAGTGATGCTGGCATGTGGTTGCTTGGATTTGCGGAGCTCTCCAGATTGCTACTTTGACAGCGGGGCTGAAAGGGTCACGAAGAGCATCATTAGTTATAGAACCGGTCGCCCAAAATTGAGGAATTGGTCTTCCATGCTCGCTTTTCGCCTGGTATACTGTTGTTTCTGCGTTTCATCATGCGATATTTCTGGTGATGTATGTTGGGCGAGTGGATGCTATACAGTCCACGCCGCAGGGTACACCCACTCGCCGCATGTTTCAAAGCAAGTAATGCGATCTCAGTTCTTTAAGATTACCTTGTTCTGCTCTCTCAGGCAGGTATACACTCCTTTCATGTTACTCAACTGCAAACGCCGGCGAGAATGCCTCTAGTGAGTATTATACAGCGGGCGCCTGTGTGAGCCTATCAGCGCCTCCACCTACTAACCGCTCAAGATCTCTATTACTACCGCGAACTCTGGTACAGCAGGCTATAGACTGCTCTCACCCTATACCGACGACGATACTACGTTTGCACATAACACGCTCTGTCCGCGATATGCAGAGTCCGATCCTACATCCGCACCGCCGTCCCCTGCGTCTGTCGAGTCCTTTGAGATATTGGACAGCATACCTTGGCGCAGAGGCTACATATCCTTAGACCATCATGCAAGGCAAAACACCAATACACTGCAAAGTCCATGGGTAAGAAACAAGGTTCGCACTATGGTGCTGCTTTTGCTCTTCACCTTGCTTGTAGCTGGCTGCACGCTAGGCGGATACATGATGATCAAACACGGGAAAAGCAGCAGAAGCACAGACATGGCATGATTCTTGCATTGGAATAGACACGGCACATGGGCAAGTAATCATCGAGATTCAAGAACATGATGCTGTGGCGGATTGTTCCCAGCCTCGCATTTATGAGTCCACTGTCGCGAGGCCAGTGGACGTGGCGTTCTCCGGAGCACCCGAGAACGAATCCCCTACAGGGAAGGTCCCTTTAGACAGTCAGCCACGTCTGCGGGAAGAGGCAAATACAGCTTGGGCGACAAAGGAATTCGCGCTGCAAGGCGGGTCTGTTTTACGACAAGGGGTCAACGCGGTAAAATAGATACTGGGTGTTGAGGTAGATCGATACAACGCGACGCGATTTGGTCCCATCGCAAGATTGCGATGCGTTGGCGGCAGAAGAGGCTGGGGTAGCCCTACTTCCACGGGATAAAGTCCGGAAATACACTCAAAAGGGCAATGCAACACTGCGATGCGGGACGAATTTGAAATATCAGAGAAGCGGAACCCAAGATGCAAGATGACATAAGAAGCTTCTAAGTTGATGCTTCCCCACAGTGCATCCTTTCGAGATTCCAAGAGTAACTGTCCTGTTCACGTGACCTTCGCCTTATCGTATCACGGCGATAAGACACCAAGTAGAACAACACCAATAGATAGTACCACGAAATACATACATGCTTGCTCTTGAACCAGTATCCAACCGGCTATGCTTTCTATATTATGACTTCGATTGAACCCTGAACGCGATGTCTAACATCGACAGCAGCGCACCCCTACTCACACGCCTCACAACAACATCTATGCCGTCAACTAGCAACCCATCTCCTATACTGTCTGCCTCCAGTAAACGCGCAATATGGCCCTTGGTGCTTCTTCTCATCTTGGTGCAGCTTTCGTCGGTTCTATATACACTGCCTCTCAACCGAGTGATAGAGCTACGATTGTGTCAAGAGCACTATGAAGCGAATGATCCATTGGTGATACAGCCAGACGGGACGATACCGGAGATGCTATGTAAAGTCAAGGATGTTCAAAGGGGGCTTGCATGGTTACAGGGGAGCATGGAGACGATGAGTGTTGTGTGTGGTATGTGATTCGACCATTGTATTTTCAGGTAAGAGGTGGAGATGGAGGCTGATGCTGTATACATTCAGATTTTATCGTCACGATACCTTTTAGCTTCATGGCCAAGAAATGGGGTGTTAGGACAGTGCTGTGGTTCAATCTTGTTCCTAGGGTAGTCATGAGTGTCTGGGCTGTTATCGTCGGTATGTGTTGAACCAAAAAAATATACTCGCTCGACCGTATAGTCGACCTCTATCTAAACTACGTCAGGACACTTTCCACTCCTCTTACCCACCAAGGCCATTCTTGCAAGTCCGATCTTCAACGTCTTGGGAGGTGAGTGTGTCTTCCAGTCAACAATATTTACACTTACTTCGGGCTTGACGAGTGAGTATGTTCAACGGTGAGTAATTACCTTCTATCTAGTAGCTCATAATAGGGAAGCAAGACTAACTACGAACAGAGCATCATACTTCTCCTACATCAGCTCAACCTCTTATATCGTCTCCTTCATGGGCCCAACATTTGCCGCTTTCACCATGAGCGCCAACCTCTGGCTACCCTTCTGGCTCAACATATCTCTCCTACTCTGCGCTATACCAACGATAGGCCTACTTCCAAAAACCTCGAAATTCGCAAAATACACCATATCGGCCCACGAGACTATACCTAACGAAAATACGGAGGAATCAGGACCCTTGATTGGAAGCAGAAATACCAGTCCAGATAGATATGCCTCCGCATTCCAAGCACCACCCTCCAGCACATACTACCAAAGTATCAAAACAACCATAGAACAACTGATTCATCTAGTGCTTGGACGACGAAGCTTCCAAATTCTGCTGCTGACCTTGTTCTTTACGGCACTGGCTAGTTCAGACACAAAGCTCTTGGTTCAGTATATTTCCAAACGCTACAATTGGACTTTTGCACAGGCAGGCTACTTGCTCTCAGCGAAGGCGTTGGTGAACCTCACGCTACTTGCAGTAGTAGTCCCACGTATCATTCATAAATCCATGTCATCGAGAGCCGTTCAAGGTTCTGATGTGCGACTGAACATTCTGGGAGCAGATGTTAGTATTGCGGTCTCGGTGGTGGGTGTGCTATGTATCGCATTAGCGGGGAGATTTTGGATGTTGTTTACTGGTACGTCCACCACACTTACTCTTACTTAATAGTCGCATGCAGAGATAAGATGAGCTAACATGAACAGCGCTCATCATCTACGCACTTGGATCAGCTCTACCAGTGTTTACCATGTCGTTGATCAAGTCGTCGTTGATTGCCATTGGAGGCTCTGATGCTCAAGACTTCAGTATCGTCATGTTGACCAAGACACTCGGGTCTTTGGTTGGCGCGCCGTTGATGACAGTTTTGTGGGTCAAGGCGATCGAATGGGGAGGCATTGGACTGGGATTGCCATATCTCATATCTTCAGTACGTTGGCGTGCTACATACACAAGATGCACGCTAATTCGTATTACAGTGTTTATACATGTCTGCATTCATCATATTCTCGCGTTTACGAACTTGAATGTTCTGGATACGAAACATCACCATGATGAACGACATACATGTTTGTATCATCGACGGTACTTTATGGTGGACACTATACCAGGTCCTAGACTTTGTGTTCTTTGAATGAGCAGCTTTCTGAATAAACCATACACACACCCAGAATTGAGACTCGGACGGACAGATTCCTGTGACACTACCCAGAAGATGTATAGTTGTGGATAAAATACTGTTAGTGCAAACTTGCATCTAACGTTTGAAGTAATAAGGCCTATAGAACTCGATAGACAAAATACTATTTTACTGTACAGCTCTAAGAGGTGTGTCAGTATTAGCTGCCCTACTTCAACCACTAGGATGCAAAGGATCATGGGAAAGACGGGAAGTTTTGTATTGGTGAAAAGGGAGTTGTCTGCTGTTTCTTTAGCGTCAATAGCTAGGGTAGTAAAGGTGACAGGAAAGAGGAAGCCATACGGTATGATAATGGTTGTATTTATCCATTTTGTTGTTCTAGACCACTTGATGAAATCCGTTGGATAGTTGTCTCTATCTCGAGTCTGTCGTGAGTCAAGTCACAGTATGTTGCGCCTGCTTGATAGCATACCACTATTTCTCTTAAGGTTGGATACCAGGTCTTGTTTTGAAGACACACTGTCCACCAGGGTGAACCTTGCTTACTCTTTGCCTCTGAATTTAACAGTCGATATCTGTTCTTCTTGGGCTTCGAAGGGAGAGGGGTTTCCAAGACGGTACGTTGGCTATCATTCTCAGATTCACCACGTATGGTTCCTGGTTGGTTCTCGACCTACCATGGAGTTGTCAACATGTCATTTGTGTATGGGTTTGAAGCAAGCAACCAGGCCTACTGGTTGGCTGAGTCTCACGTAGACTTGGTAACAAAGTGTATTTATGTGGCAAACACAGAGGCATTCGGTGAGCGTGAACTGAATTGATGGACTCGTGTCGACGCAGTCCAATGCTTTGGTCTATAGGGTATCATGCCTCAATCAAAATCCCGGATTCTATTTGTACACCACTTTCTCACCACTTCTACATCCATGCGTAGTAGCTCAGTCCATATCCTCGAGACCGCCAGCATCACTCGGCGCTTGCTCCTCACTAACCATGATGCCCACCATACATTCACCCAACATATTCTCCCAATTCACCCACGGGTGAACTTCCATGAATAGCTTGGTCCCGTCTTTGCCAGCTGCTCGTCTCAATTCACCCTCCCCACCAGGGTGAAAGGGCAAATAGGGCGAGATGTTGTATACCTTGCCCTGATAGCTTGACCAAGCCGGTTTACCCTTGCGTCCATTCTTCTCTTTGAGCATAGCAGGCGTAACGCGTATCATCGAATCAACGCCCGACAAGTTCTTGCCTGACTTTTGCAAATAAGCCCAGTCCAGTGGAGAGTGACCTGGCGACAGGAGTACCTTGCCTCTGGCATTTGGTGTCTTGAGCGTGGGGCCTGCAGTGGGTGGAAGCCCCAGGCTGCCGTTTGAAGTTGGTGGACCGCGATTCGGTAGTGGGCCACGGTTCGGAAGAGGGCCGGTTGTGGGTACGCGCATCGACTGCGAGGAGGTGTTGGGAAGGGCACGGAGGTTTGAAGCTGCGACTTTTGGGGGTGGCATGAGGGAGGTTGTGGGTTTTTGTGGCGGGGCCATGAGGTTCGGCTTGCTGGGTGGAGGCATAGCGGACGGTGGGGGCATGGTGGATAGCGAAGGGGGCTTCGAGGCCCTCTGTGCCGAGTTCATGGCCGGGAAGGAAGGCGGTGGCAGGTTATCTTCTTCGTCTTCGTCGGAGCTCTCATGCTCGTTGAGCGTGAAGGTGGGTACGGCGGGCGCATCTTGGTCGGATGCGGGAGCAGCTTTTGGGGTAGTCTCGACATCGTCCTGTGTCGTCGGGGTGTGCAGCTCTATGCGTTGGTGTGCAGCCGGGGGGTTGTCGTCTGTCTCGCCATGCTGCGACTTCTCAGGTATCGAAGGCGGAGCAGACTGTGTGAGGCGAGTAAGGAAGGCGAGCCATGTCGAGGGCGGGCGCTGGTAGACCAGGAATGACAGTGACAGGGCAAGTATAGAGACGGCTACGAGCATCTCTTGTGGCTGTCGAGGGTAAGGAGCGAGGGCGGCGTGGACCCTGGAGGCTGATATAGAGCGGAACGAGTCCAGGCTTCATGCGCTTACAGGGTCAAGCTGTAGGGCTGAAGGGATTTGGCGCTAACCATCAATGACTTCACGCGCCGCATGCCGTCACTGGTTCCGGGTTCGGAACAAGTCGTGTCTGGGTGAATATACTTTGTCATGAGGCATTGGTAATTCTTTTGCTACCTTGCCAGTACACAGAGCCTCGATATCTCATCCACGGTTACGCGCGACCCACACTACGCGCCTTTATAACCTTCGCGCCTGCCCCACCACCCCTCTATCAACCGCGATCGCAAGTGCAGCCCTGAAGCTGAATTTCCAACGCGCAGCAATCAACACGCAATCATGGCGAACCAATCGCAAGACCTGCCCGAGGGCATCTTTTCCCTTTTAGACACGGATCTTTACAAGCTGACTATGCAATGTTGCATACTGAAGTTCTTCCCCGATGTCTCAGTCACCTACGGCTTCACCAACCGCACACCCGATAAGAAGCTCAATCGCACAGCCTTCAAGTGGTTGCAAGCCCAAGTAGATAGTATGCTCGCCTTCTATTCACACACACACACAAAATAGCTGCTAACCCTGTCAGAGCTCGAGAACGTAGCCGTGTCTGAGGAAGAACTCAACTTCCTCAAGAATACTTGCCCCTACCTAAACGCGCAATACCTCCATTTCCTCTCCACCTTCCGCCTGAAGCCTTCTCAGCAGCTCAAGCTGTCTTTCCAATGCGCGAATGACACTGGTTCAGATAGCGATGTTGGCGATTTCCACATCCATACCGAGGGCCTCTGGCTAGACACGATCCTCTACGAGATTCCATTACTGGCGCTTGTCAGCGAGGCATACTTCAAGTTTGTCGAGACAGACTGGAGCCATGAGGGCCAAGTCGAGAAGGCATACCAAAAGGGGCGGGGTCTGCTGGAAGGAGGCTGTATCTTTTCCGAATTTGGCTCGCGGAGACGTCGCGACTACCACACCCAAGATCTAGTGCTGCAGGGCTTGCGCAGGGCGGCTGATGAGGGTAGCAAGGCAGGTTGGAAAGGAAAGCTCTCGGGGACAAGTAACGTCCACTTCGCCATGAAACATGGCCTTGTCCCTGTGGGCACTGTTGCGCACGAGTGGTTCATGGGCGTGGCTGCTATTACCAACAACTATGAAAGCGCAAACGAAATTGCTCTGGAATACTGGACAGCGACATTTGGCGCAGGCGTCCTGAGCATTGCACTTACAGACACGTTCGGCACACCTACCTTCCTCAGGGCTTTCAAGAAGCAGATTCCGCGTGTTACTACCGCTATCCCAGGAGGTGGCACAACGCTGGCTTCAGCTGGAGATGCCACCAACAACGATGCCGTAGAGACAATGTCCTCAACTAAGCCACCTATTCAGGCACCATACGACGGAAATGCGGGATCGCAACAGACTTATGCCGACGTGTTTGCAGGCGTACGACAGGATTCTGGGGACCCATTAGATTTCATCAAGATGATGCGCGACTTCTACGACGAACAAGGCATCAAGGAGAAGAAGACGATTGTATTCTCCGACTCTTTGAACCTGGAACTCTGCTTCAAGTACAAGGCTGCAGCAGAAGCGGCGGGTTTCCAGCCTACTTTCGGCGTTGGAACGTTCCTGACAAGTGAGTACTGTGGCGCATGTGTGACCGGAACAAAGCTGACAATGACAGATGATTTTGTGGAGAAGTCTACCGGTAACAAGTCTGTACCCCTCAACATTGTCATCAAGATCGCTTCCGCTGCGGGGCGTCACGCTGTCAAGATCAGCGACAATATCGGCAAGAATACCGGAGACAAGGCAACGGTAGACGAAGTCAAGCAGCGATTAGGCTACCAAGAGAAGTCGTGGGCTGGCGGTGATGAGAAGACACGGTGGGGTAGTGCAGGACAGCCAGCCACCAAGTAGTGCGCTTTGCATTCAGTAGTACGCTCTGAAGACGGAGACGCGACCAACAAGCGGAGGCGTTCATAAGCTGTGATGCGGTCTGCAAGGCTGAGTCTAGCGCAGACGTTTCTTGCAAAGACCGCGAGGCTGGGTAAGCAGCCGGTCAGCGTTCTGATTCGCGGGTTCGGGTCTCTTTACGAGATGGGAGGCGAAAGCAGCGGCGTCAGTAGATGATTTACCAAGATGTTCCTTCCAGACGCCAAAGTATCTGCACGGTGCCAAAATTAGAGTGATCTTAGGGCATCTTCGCCGCTGCGGGCCAACGACGCGCCGCTGCTTACCATCCCGAGTGGGCCTAGTGCAAGCGCCTCCTGCATCTGCGCGCTCCACTCTCACACTCAGCCCCAGGAAACACTCTCCAAGCTGAAACACATTTATCTTCCCTCGACAGCCTTTCTCCAGCATTGATTCGAGCTCAAGCGCGTTTGACATCAATTCACCTCTGCCCTAGTCACGAGCCAACCGCTACTCTAGTGTGCTTTACGCGTTTGCAGTCGGTTGTCTCAGGAGTCTTCACGTCCACTCATACCACACAGGGTCTGTTTCAGAATGAGCGTAAGTCCCTTCTCCGTCAGACTACTCAATTGACACAACACCTCTACAACACACATCCGACTACTCTCGATATTTACACTTGCTGACCATGGCTGCTGCCGACGAACAGTTTGGAAACAAAGGCTACGGCCAGATAGGATCATATGGCGGTAACCCCTACGATTCCCGCGACCCGAGCCCGGCTGGCTACAACAACTACAACCAGGGCGGCGGCTATGGTATGTTTAAGATGCGCTGCACCCTCGACACGTGTCTAACACAATACAGGCGATGTAGAGATGCAATCCTACGGTGGTGGCGCAAGCGCGAACCCCAATGCCATCCTCGACGAATGCCGCGAAGTCGACCGCGCCCTCGACGACCTCGATGCCCAACTCAGCAACCTCGACCGAGTGTTCAAGCAGTCGCTGGCGCGGCCAGACATGCCCTCGGGCGAAATCAACAACCTCAGCTCCCAGATCATGACGGGGTACCGTGGCCTCGTGACACGCGTAAAAGCAATTAAGTCTAAGCCCGACTCCGGCCACCCAAGAAATGCCCCACAAGTCGGCAAGGTCGACCGCAGACTCAAGGCGACCATCAACAAGTACCAGTCGCTCGAGTCGGATTTCCGAAGGGATTCGCAAGCTGCTGCCGAGCGCCAGTACCGCATTGTGCGCCCAGACGCAACCGAACAAGAGGTCCGAGACGCAGTAGCGGACCCCGATGCGCCCATCTTCCAGCAGGCTGTAAGAAACCTCCAACTGTTGAGTATGTCACATACTAATCTTTTTCTAGCTCCTTAACTCAGACCGCCGCGGCCAGGCCTCATCCACCCTCCGCAACGTAAAAGAGCGCCACGAGGCCATCCAGAACATAGAACGTCAAATGGTCGAACTCGCCCAACTGTTCCAAGACCTTGACCAGATCGTCCAGGAGCAAGAACCGCTCGTTGCCAACATCGAGCAAAAGGGCGAGGAAATCCACGACAACGTCCAGGCTGCCAACGTCGAAATTGATGGTGCTATCGTCAAGGCGCGTAGCCGTAACCGCAAGAAGTGGTGGTGCCTCCTCGTTATCCTGCTTATCATCATTATTGTGGTCGTCATTGCTGTGGTTGTCACACAGGTTAACAAGGCGGCTGCGAATACTGTTGCGTAAGAGGCTGACAGGAAGTAGCTGCGAGGAGGATTCGTGCTGCATTAACATATCGCGTCCCCGACTCGGTACTCACTACATCTCACGTCTCAGGGCACGTGAGAATATCGATTGCTGTGGGACATGGCACCACAGCTGCCGTCTCACATCAACACCACCACCACATCCACCGTCTCATTCTCCCTTTTAGTCTTTTTTTGAAAGGCTGGTCCCGTACTCATATGTAATACGCCTGCCTCTCTTGGTGGATATGCATACCCCTCTAGCCGCATCTCGCTTGTCTGTCATTTCTTCCCTTGGTCTAGGAAAATTGGTCTTTCTGTTTTGTTTTGTGGAGGCGCTTTCACGGCGTGTTCGATTCCCAGCGCTGGCCGAGTTGCTTTGCGCGTTTGCTTGTACACAAATGTCTTTTTATAGAGTCAAGCTCACGAGCTATTGAAATGGAAGAGGATTGAAACCTTGAGCATGAAGTGCTGATGTTTACTGTGAGGAGGCTTTTGATGTGCCATTGCTCATCATCTCCACCACCCCAAGCCCAGGTCCGGCGCAATCTACCTTTCCATACGCACAATCAAACCCTGTGGGAAAGGGCGGCGAGAAACATGCTCTCAGGTGACGTTGGCAATATTAACATGTACCGCGCTAAATTTCAAAGTTAATCTAAATGGCACACGCATATGGAAGCCGAAGAATAACCTGGGGTAAGATGCACGATTTACCGACATTTTAACCACTAGAACGCCATTTTCATATATTCTGGAAACAAGCACGGAACAAGCATGCCACTATGCCAGTTATGCTACGGAAGGAAAAGCTTGGGCTGCGAGAATGATGGAGATGAGGGTATAAAGGCATAGCAATTTGTCCCTGTCTGGCATACCATCATCTCATTCTGCACCAGAACAGCGATAACGATGCTTCGTCAAACAGCTCTCTTCGCCTTGGCCCTTGCGGCACCTACCATCGCCCAAGTTACTGAAGGCTTCGAGAATGGCTGGGATCAAACCGCATGGCCTGTATACGCAACAGACTGTAATCAAGGAGGCAAAGTCACCCTGGATAGCTCGACAGCTCACACGGGCAAGAACAGTATTCGTGTCGATGGAGCAGGTGGATTCTGCGGCCACATCTTCGTTGGCACAACGAAGATTCCTTCTGGCGATGTTTACGTGCGAACATATGTGTATGTACTCACCTCGTCCTTCTCCCTCCTCATCCGACGCATTGTTTCCATTGAACAAGAGAAGTCATCAAGACCTCCTACTAACACCCTACAGCAAAGCCGCAAAAGCTCTGACCGACTCCCACGTAACCTTCATCACCATGCCCGACTCGGCCCAAGGCACAAACAAACACCTCCGCATCGGAGGACAATCCAAGATCCTCATGTACAACCGCGAAACCGACGACGCTACTTTGCCGGATCTGTCCCCACAGGGTATTGCGACGTCCAAGGCGCTGCCAACGAATGCTTGGACGTGCTTTGAGTACCATTTGGGTACTGACGGAAGTGTGGCGACGTGGTTGAACAACGTAACGGTGCCGGCTTTGACTGTGGGCAATGGAGCGACGAATGCGAATGCGGGGCAGTGGACGAGGAGCAGTGTTAAGCCGAAGATTAAGGGAGTGTACTTTGGATGGGAAAGCTATGGCGGTGATACTAACACTATGTGGTACGATGATATCGTTGTTAGTAGCAGCAGGATTGGATGCTAGACGGTTACAAGGGAACGCGTGTCTTCTGAATTGTATATATGTAACACCTGATAGCAATGTTGAATCTATCAGTATTAGTTTTGTGCTGAACACATAGTTGCAAACTAAGCCAGAACCCTGCGAATACACATGACGTAAAGTGGAGGTGCAACTAAGAAGAGACGAGCCTCTTGGTATTGAACGCCAGGGCTAGCAGAATAGCTAAGACTCGTAGAATAAAGAATACGACCACCCGCATCCTCTTGCATGTAGACGCGGTACTTGTTGCAAAAGTGAAAGCTGTGGAAGTTGTTATCAGTCTCCAGATGGTATCAATGTGACGAGATTAGTCCAGCACATGCTTGCTCGTTCACTTCGCATACGCTTTGCAGCTTCCTAGAAGCTTCCTGTCCATGCGCGATAATGCCACCAACAAGGTCATGGTGACACAAGGGCCTGGTGACTCCCGCCTCCGCAATCCGGTGTGGACCAGCGGATCCTCATCATCAAATTCCCTCAGCTCATGTCATCTGAGCACCTCAACTCCACCAGAAACCACCAAAAGGACCGGCTGTTCACCTTGGCGCAGGATCTTGGTGTGGCAGTTTCTTGCTCTGAGCATCGCAGCTGGCTTGCAGCGCGATACCCTGCCGATCAGCTATCGCCTGATCCCTATTGGGTTGGCTTACGACTCCCACTTGGCGAACAAGCGGAACCAAGCCCACGAGCACCGCGCCACACTTGCTTTCACCAATGTAGACGACCAGGTGAGCGGTGAAGCCATGCGTGCCATGCAGCAGCGTCCGTACGACGACTGCACGAGGGCCACTTTGGCAATCACATGGCAGCTTCCACAGCCCAGCACGCAATCACAGCGGCGCATTTCCCAAGTGCATTCTCGCTAGCTTCCGCCGCCCGCTACCTGCATGCCCGCCCACCGCGCGAACAACGTCGAAACCAAGAGACGATGCGAAGACACGCCTAGACCCTGGGCTGACGCTCGCTACCCTTTGCGACCTAGGATTCGGGGCGTTAGGATGGCGCTGGGACCCTTGCGCATGTTTGTTTCTACCACGGTTAAGAGCAGCCTGGGGTTCGCTTTCTTTTCACGTTTGCACGTTCGTACTCTGGGGAAGCTTTTGTGGGGGGACCCGACCTTCTTCTCTACACTTAGTATTACCAAAGACCCACGCGTTCGCCATGTCGTCTGTAGCAGCGTCGGCGAGTGCGGCGCCCACGGCGCCCATCAAGGCCCCGCCGCAAGCCGGTATCCTCGAGGGCGTCAATCCAGTGCATTTCGACAAGAATCATCCGATTATTCTGTTCATTGTTCAGGTATGTTGTGGTTTACTATGTTGTGCATCGCTTCAGAAGCTTAGCCTGTGGGACGCTTCACCGATCTAGTGCTACCAACATCTTCTCTTTGCGCGACTCCAGTTCCATAGCCCTGGTTCTGCGTGCGAAAGTTTACAATACATGTCAAATTCAGTTTTCGTTTCCTTTTGAAGTCCTAAAAGAAGAGAAACTAACCACGATGTACACATTAGGCAGGCATAATCATCATCTTTTGCCGCGCACTCAACTGGCCCCTCTCGAAGATCCGTCAACCTCGTGTGATATCCGAAATCATCGGCGGCATCATTCTAGGTCCCTCTGTTATGGGCCGGATCCCCGGCTTCCAAACCTCCATCTTCCCAACCGAGTCCATGACCAACTTGAACCTGGTTGCCAATCTCGGTCTCACATTGTTTCTGTTCATCATTGGCCTGGAAGTAGATCTACGGTTTTTACTAAGCAACTGGAGACCAGCGCTCAATGTTGGCTTGGCGAGTATGGCTATTCCGTTTGGACTTGGATGCGCTATTGCCGTGGGACTTTACAATGAGTTCAAGGATGAGCCGGATACGGTCCAGATTGACTTTGCCATCTTTATGTTGTTTATCGGTGTGGCTATGGCGATTACTGTGAGCATCCGAAGACGAGACGAGGCTGCATTCGCTAACTCGATAGGCCTTTCCTGTGCTTTGCCGTATCTTGACGGAACTCAAGCTGCTCATGACTCCAGTTGGTGTTATTGTTCTCTCAGCTGGTGTCGGTAACGACGTTGTCGGTAGGTTGCACATGACAGAATTTCCTATGGTTCTCAGACTAACGTGTACAGGATGGATTCTACTCGCTCTTTGTGTAGCCCTTGTCAACGCTGGCTCGGGTCTGTCAGCACTGTGGGTGCTCCTCACATGTTTTGGGTACATGCTGTTCCTTGTGTACGCCGTTCGACCAGCATTCGTCTACATCCTGCGTCGTCAGCGCGCACTTCAAGACGGTCCCAGCCAAGGCATCATCAGTCTCACTCTGCTCATCGCTCTGGGATCCGCTTTCTTCACCGGTATCATTGGTGTCCATCCTATCTTCGGTGCGTTCATGGCTGGATTGATCTGTCCGCACGAAGGTGGTTTTGCCATCAAAGTTGCTGAGAAGATTGAGGATCTAATCGGCGCACTCTTCCTGCCGCTCTACTTTACCCTGTCAGGACTGAACACTAACATTGGCCTCCTGGACTCTGGTATTGTTTGGGCCTACGTCATTGGCGTCTGCGCTGTAGCGTTCTTCTCCAAGTTCCTCAGTGCTACACTTGCGGCTCGCGGAAGCAAGATGCTTTGGCGAGAATGTTTCGCTGTAGGATCACTGATGAGTTGTAAGGGATTGGTAGAGCTGATCGTCTTGGTAAGCAAACACTCTTTTCGAAGCATGGAGCCAGCATTAACAGTCACAGAACATCGGGTTGAATGCCAAGATTCTCAGCACTCGAACCTTTACCATCTTCGTTGTCATGGCCCTTGTCACTACCTTTGCGTCGTCTCCCTTGACCATGTACTTCTACCCTCCATGGTACCAGAAGAAGGTCGAGGCGTGGCGTCGCGGCGAGATTGATTGGGACACCGGCAAGCCTCTTGATGGTTCCGAAGATGGTGTCGACGGTGTGAACTACGAGAAGATGGCTGCTGAGAAGATCCAGCGGATGACCGTCTACCTCCGTCTGGACAGTATGCCTAACCTTCTAGCCTTCACCTCCCTCTTTGGTGGAAACGCAGACAAGCCAGCGGCCAAGACACACCCTTCCAAGGACATCAGCAGTACTGGCAAAGAGACAGGCGAGACATCATTAGTCGAAACCGCACCATCGAGACCAGTAGAAGCCTACGGCCTCCGTCTACTCAACCTTACCGACCGTGGCTCCTCCGTCATGCAGGTCTCGGAGATAGAATCATACACAGCCTACGATCCTGTTGTAAACACCTTCCGCACTTTCGGTCGTCTCCACAACCTGGCTGTCAGTGGTGAAGTACTCGTCGTGCCGGAATCCTCTTTCGCCGAAACTCTCGCCACGCGTGCTTCAGACTCCAACTTCCTTGTTCTTCCCTGGAGTGAAACAGGCGGTATGTCCGAACAAGCCATCATCGAAGACAAGGGAACGAAGAACAAGCTCGCCGCATCAGGTTACAACTCGTTTGTGCATGAGACGCTCGAACAAGCCAGCATACCCGTCGCAGTACTCATCAACAAGAACTTTGGAGGCAGCAAGAACAAGGAGCAGAAGCAGCGATTGAAGCTTACCAGAACATACAGTAGTGTCAGTCTGTCGAGCGCTAGGGACAAGGCGGTCACAGCGCCCATTGCGGATCGAAGCCACCACATCTTCTTCCCCTTCTTCGGCGGCAACGATGACAAGACAGCGTTGAGATTGGTTCTGCAGTTGGCAGAGAATCCGCAAGTTACTGCTACAGTTGTGTATTTCGATGTTCCAGAGTCCATCATTGGTGCTTCTGCATCTTCGCCAATCTCTTCAACGGTGTTAGGAAAGGATGGACAAGCCGTAACGACAACGACCACAACCACGTCCCGCGACCAAGACGCAGCCTTCTTCGCTTCGCTGCGCGCCTCGCTTCCTGTCGACCTGGCGAACCGCGTTATCTTCGAGACTGTGCCATCCACTGCACCAGTCGCTGATGTTATCGCCCGAGCGAGCATCGAGGTTGGTCAGTCGCCGAGAAACGCAGGTGATCTCATCGTGTTGGGTAGGAATGTCGCGAGGAACAGTGTGTTGGAGAGGGAGAACACTACGGACGAGATAAGGAGTAGTTCGAGTGCGGCGGGTACGCTAGGTGTGCTTGCTGAGAAGGTTTGGGAAGGGAAACTGGGGGCTAGTGTCTTGGTTGTAAAGGCAGGATTGTGATGGCATTGTAACCGGGTGTTAACGGTGCTTGGGTAAGGGACGCGATATCATGACCATTTAGGATGGAGTTTGTCAAGGATGGAGTTTGTCAAGGATGGAGTTTGTCAAGGATGGAGTTTGTCACGGATGTAGTATTGGGATACCTCTTAGCTTGAAATGGAAAACTGCTTCATGCTTGCGTAATCCAAGACTGAAACTCAATCTCCACAAGTGGCACATTGTCTGTGATCAGCGACAAGGAGTCGTCGTTCATGACGTTTCCCCTCTCCTCTTTGACAGTGGCTTGAGCTCGTTCATCGGCTGCTTCCTTCTCTGATGGATTTTCACTGAAGATCATGTTGTCACTTTGAGATCGTCGCCATTCTGCGGCTCCGCACACAAAGTCATGTTGTCAATGAGTAGACTTTATACCCAGAGTCCCAACGTCGACTAACCTGGGAGGCCGTCACGAGGCCTGACTGCATACGTATGCAGACTTCAGTGCGTGCGGCCTCCGGGCGTAAGGCGTCGTCCTTGAGGTACACGTACCCTGTGCACTTGCCGTAGTACACGTACTCGATGCTACCTGCGTACGTGGGGTGTGTATCCAAACCACGGTCCACGTCACCTTCCCCGGTCGTGCTGCGGTCTTTTCTGAGACCCGAGTCGCAACCCAGTGATTCATCATTGATTAACACGGAAAGTTTGATGAGCAACTGACAACGTCACTGGATGATCCTTGTGGGCAAGCTTCGAGTACACATCCACTCCATGTCCACTGTGACGTTTATCTCTTGTCCAAAATTCATCCACGTGTGTGCAGGTCGTTGCTCGATGGGTCATGATAAAGACGGAATGTGGAGGTGAGGATGAAGATACTTCCGTGAGCTCCATCAACGGACCATCCCGGACTGAATAATGAAGAAGCGGTGACGGGTAGCTAGAAGGTTATCGAAGGAAAAAAGCAGGTGTGGGTCGACATCGTTATCAGTTTTCCGCAGTGCAAATATCGTGGATGCCAGAAGACGACCAATGAAAGCTGGTGTTGGGAGTGCGTCTGGGTGTGGACGCGTAGACGTGGGTATTTGTACTACACTCGCATGCTAGTGGTAACGTGCTTTGTCTGCAGATGCAGATGGTGGATGTGTCTTCTCTTTACCCACCGGCGTGCGAGCAGAGTTGTATGGCTTGAGGCGGCAACGGCTCAGCCCTGCGCATGAGTAGGATTGCGGGAAGATGGAACAGTTAGTTCTGGAAGATCCTATGCATGTACGGAACCCAATGATGAGGCAGGCAATGCTCTGTCGCACTCGTCGTAATCGGGTTATGACTTGCAGACGATCCCCGAGAGATACGCCACCGAGAAGCTCCGTGCCGCGCCTGCGCCTCACAGGGAGTCGAAGAGGTGGCTAACCACCAGATTTGAATGCAAATACTTGGAAAAAAAAGCATCAGAACTTCACGATGCTAAACGACAAGATGGTGGCGTTGTTGACAATTGTCCGCCAATTGTTGCAAATTTGATAGTCAAACGGTCGTGGTCAGTGTGACGGTGGAGTCTCGGTGTAGACGGACGCGTGGCTAGCGAAGATCAACGTCTCCACTAGTCCACCAAGGCGCGCCGCAAAGGTAACCGCAAGAGGAAGCAACGAGGGACAGGGGAGATTGGAGGCAGAACACTCGCGTTCGCGTGCAGTTGGAGAGAAATTCGCGAGACGCTCGCGAGATGAATGTACCCATTGAACTATTGGGAATGTACACGGTAGGGAGTAGCGCTGTGCAGCGAAGCGCGAAGGAAGCTCATTGGCACAGCCATAACGTAATGTGGGCAGGCGCGTCATGGCGACGTGAGGGCAAAGTCATCAGGAGCAGCAAAGGAGTAGTAGTTCGTCGTAGTCCATGGTAAGCGCGTGTACGTATAGTTGAAGCTGTACGCAAACTTCAACTAGCAAAGCTTGAGTAGCTTCGAGACTGGCAAAGTCTTCTTGGCACGACGCGCGAAACAGTTGACGATGGGAACGAGTGGTGATTGCGACGCTGATGCCAAGCCAAGCGATTCTAGAGGGTAAAGTGGTTCACTGAAGATTGCGCAAGCTGTAGTGCGAATCTGCCACACTTAGCGAAGCGTCGCCTGCCCCTGCGCTGGGGGAGTGCAGAGTGGATTCGAGCAAAATGGCAGACGATGGCAGAAGCAATGCGGTGCAGGAGGCAGTCCAAGTGTACACGCGGAGAGCGACAGCGGAGGTAACGTCTGGGTGGGCAAGCGGATGACTATCAGAGGGAATGCTACGCTGATCTGACTGCTGTTGCGTGGTCGCAGGGCTTTTGGGCGGGTGGTGGGCGTTGTGGAGTTCTAGACATGTGGAAGCCGCGACAGGGCCGCGTCAACCCGGCTGAATTGGGTAAGCGCGAGTCGTCGTCGTCTTGCCCCATCCCTCAATCAATTACCCTCGTCCGCACCTGTCCAACCTACGACTCCACCACCTATCGACGACCAAAACCGTGTCTTCCAGCGCTGCATAGCCGCCTGCAACGAGAGAAAGAGACCTTCGACCTCTCTTCGCGCCCACGACCAGCAGAATTCCCAGAATATCTGCCTGTGGCTATCTCGTTGCTGCGCCGCTGCCATCATCGGGCTGTGCACTGCCAATCCGCAGCCTGTCGACCACGCTATACACCCACGACGCCCCGTCACCCCGACACCCAACACCTGAACACCCATCACCGCGCACAACGACATCGCGACTGCAGCTCGCACCTGCCCACGATGGAATACAACAACAGCGCCCACCGCGCTCACCAACAACAACATGTCGACACTGACAGGCTGGCTGCCGAGATGACGGAGCAGTTCCGTCACGTCCTGAGCACAAAGCGCATGAACGAACTCACATCACGATCATCGCAGTCACGCTCCTCATCGCCAGCACCCAGGGATTTCGGAACCCCCCAGCCGCCGCCATCGCAGTCTGCCCCGCCGACGTACGCTTCCATCAAGAACATTCCGCTCGTCCCTGAGGCGCCCCGTGATGCGCGATCGCTCCGCTTCAAGAACATGCTGCATTCGCTTTCCAACATGCCCGTACGATGGGAGAACCCCGGACTACTCGACGAGGCCCTTCGCGTCATCCCGCTCGAGCAGATCTACAACGAGGCCGAAGAGGAGAGCCAAATACTGCAGGCCGAGGGCGAGAGCATGGGAAAGAAGGCTGCCTGGGGCTACCAAGACTGCGTTGTCCGCGCACTCCTTCGATGGTTCAAGCGATCCTTCTTCTCTTGGGTCAACAACCCGCCGTGCTCGCGATGCTACTCACCAACCGTTGCCGTTGGCATCACACCACCACTCCCTGACGAACAAGCCCGCGGCGCCAACCAGGTCGAGGCTTACCAATGCTCGCACGAGGGCTGCAAGAACTACGAGCGCTTCCCACGATACAACGACGCATTCGTCCTTTTGCAAACCCGCAAAGGTCGATGCGGCGAGTGGGCCAATTGCTTCAGCATGCTCTGTCGCGCTGTCGGGTCAAGAGTACGCTGGGTGTGGAACGCAGAGGACCACGTCTGGACCGAAGTCTACTCTGTACACCGCAAGCGATGGGTCCACGTCGACGCCTGTGAAGAGGCATGGGACAAGCCCCGGTTATACACCGATGGTACGTTGCTTCCTGCATATCCATCTCCTTCATCTACTAACAGAGTTTTTAGGCTGGGGCAAGAAGCTCTCATACTGCATCGCCTTCTCGGCTGATGGCGCCATGGACGTCACTCGCCGATACGTCCGCGATGCTAAGCACGCTGCCGAGCGCAACCGCGCACCAGAGGCAGTTCTTCTCCACATCATGGACGAGATCCGAGCAACACGACGCGCCAACATGTCCAAGCAGGACAAGTTCCGCCTGCAAGGTGAGGACATCCGCGAAGCCAAAGAGCTCCGTGCTAGCGTCATTTCATCAATTGCACACGCCGTCAGCAAACTCAGGCCCGAGGACATCATCAATGCCCAGGTCACTCGCCGCCTAGACCCAGATGCCCAGAAGGCATTGGAGGGTCGTATGAGCGGCAACGCTCAATGGATACGAGCACGCGGCGAGGGTGGACAGCAACAGAACCAGCAAGACCCCCGAAACCAGCATCCGCGTTGAACTCATCGGCGACCCCCACCTTTCATTCATCACACCCGGTATCTTTCCATCGCGCCATGTCTACAACGTAAGCCGAGTCTAGCGACAGTGCACTGCACCTAGCTCTCGAGCATGTAGAGCTCGATAGAAGCCGAGATACCCATCCGACATGGCCCCGCGACATTCGTTACGCGGACGACACTCCCGCCTGTACAAACATAGAGCCTGGGATTCATCGTCATTTCGATTCATTTGCGCTGGCGTTCCAGGCGCAACATCCAAGAGACATGCGATAAACTATAATGTCTGCACCTACCTCATCAGAGGCTTTTCCTATTACTTTGGCATCACTTTGGCGACCGATTTTCGTTGCTTCACTGCATTCTTCACTTCGACTTCTTTGTGTGCACGCGGGGGTTTGCGGCACTGTTTATACCATTTTGCCATTTTGGTTTACGATTTGCGATATCTCCTATGTCTTTTCTGTATGTTTACGAGCATTTTGGCACTTTGTACGCACGACGTATGAGGTTTCACGTTTCAGTCATCCGTCGCAATACTGCTGGCACTTTCAGAGAAGGATGTGCTGTACACGGGCGGTGTGGGGATCCGTGGCATAGAGACTGTTGTGGTGGTGTGTAAGAGGGGTTGACGCGCGTCCATGGCGCCCAAGACACAGGGCTTGCTGCATGGTTTAGTGCAATAGGATGCAAGATAGAAATCCAGAGCCAAGATTGGCGATGTTTCTGCAAACCACATGCACTGTTTCCACCCATTTTCCACCTCAACAAGTTGCGTGATTGCCCGACTAGGATGAAAGCTGATCAAAGTCGGTAGGTGAAAGATTTGCGGGGACGCGCGTTAAGAGTACGCAGGCTGGGTTTAGTGCAGACGCGGCAACCGCAGTCGATACACTGCCAACACACGACGACAATGCTCAATGACTATAAAACAAGGTGCTTCGAGTCTTTGAAGCAAGAGATAGAGCGTGCGCCTTGTAAAGCCTATGAAAATGACGTTGTTGGAGTATTATAGCGAGCTTCTCTCGATCACGTTTGCTTCCTGCACCTGGTCAGGAACACGGGAAAGAGATCTCCAGGGTCCACCCATCAACGTTGAAACATGCCCTTTTCAAACGTCCGTCAAACAAGATGAAGAAATCATGATGCAAGCAAAGCAAACGTCATATATAGTGATAACCAGTTTCATCTGTATCATTCTGTTCGCACATGAGGATGAACGGTATTATGAATCAGCTACGCAGGTGAGATCAGCATCGTCAGGCGGGCCGTTCGTTTCTCCAGCTCTTGCCTAAACAAGTTAGCAGGCGCTGCTGCGCACAAGAGTCTAAAAATAACCCGTTCTCTGATATGTGATGACAGTCAGGCCGCTTTTTGCCAAGCAAAACTTGAGTTTGCTGACGAGGAACCATGAGGCTCTGCAACTGTGCCTCAACTCTGAAAAGTTTTGACTGCTCTAATGAGGAAACACTGATTCAAGAGTCTTAGCGCAAAGCGCGGAAGAACGACGGCAGTACCTCGCACAATTACCAGACACCACTGCCTTGGGAGCAGTCTAGGCTGGAGACGTGTCGGGTGGGGTTGCGCCGGGCTGACGGTATCCTTGAGGGCTGAAACGCCTATATGAGGGTTCGTACTGTGAATAATTGTGTATATGCTTGGGTCAATCTTGGGTGATGGGTGAGATAAGAACGAGATGATGAAAGATCGCGATAAACACGTTACTATGGTGCTCGTAGAAGTAGTACTCAGATGGCACTGCATGTCCTCAAGACCGATATACCACCGCACTCAGGCCCAGCAACGCGCACACTCGTCGGCAGTGCTTCTGCGCATGCCAACAGCACACACGCCCTTATCCTACACAGCATAGTTGTGTCAGTCAGCACTCTTAGTGTCTTAGCTCATCAAAATCCACAACCGTCGCAAGCCCGCTGAGGCTGGTGAAAGCTAACCCAGGATCCGCCACTTGGATCCCGCCGTGCACAGACCGCCAGACCCCCAGCTGTGTGGCCGCTCAGCCCCCTTCGCCTGGGCACATTGCCTTGCGCATTTCAGCTGCCGTGTTTGAGGCAGTTTGCAGTTTGTACAAAAGCTCGTGGCGACCCGCACATTGTCGTACATTTATCGTTCTGTCGTTTGACGTATAGCCTAGTCCACCGACTCATATCCACGGGCGACCCAACCACGACCGCGGATCCACGATCGCTACTTCCCGTCTGTCAATTGACGCTGCTTCTTGAGTGACATCAGTCAGCCTTGCTTGGCTTACCACAACACCCACTCCCACCACTACCACCACCACAACAACAAAACCAACAACAACAACAACAACCGCAAATATGGGCAAAGTCGGGCGCTTCGCGTGTATCCTCACGCCTATGTGCCTTACCCTCGCATCTTTAATATGCTTCGTCATTGTCATGCTAGGTCAAACGCCATGGTCGGGCAATAAAGCACCAGCAACAGCCTTGGGGCGCGATCTATACTTCTTCAAGGTATGCCTCACCACAACCCTACAAGCCTACTTATCTAACATACACGGTACAGGCGAATACTGGAAACATTACAGCCGACCCTGACACCATCGCCGACAAGATCCCCGAAGGCATCACACCAGACGCTGCAAAAGAGTTTCTCGACGCTCTGAAGGGCAAGCTCTCCTCGAAGGAACTCAAGGACTTCTACCAGGTCGGCCTCTTCTCCTACTGTGAGGGAGACAAGGATGCCGAGTCTGGCAAAGAAACCATCACATACTGCTCTGCGCGCAAGTTTCAGTTCCACTTCGATCCCCTGGCTATCTGGCAAATGAACAACACCAACATTCAGGAAGTTCTTGGCGACAAATATGACAGTGGTATGAACGCATACAAGAAGGCTGCTGGCTGGATGAACTGGGCTTTTGTTATCACCCTGGTTCTTACGGCTGTGGAGTTTGTGGTGGGCTTCTTTGCTATCTTTTCGAGATGGGGTAGCCTTGTTACCACTGTTATCTCTACCGTGAGTCTTTCCTCTCTTTCCTCCTAGCCAACCCCACTCTAACGTCACATAGGCACAAACCATCTTCGCCATCCTCGCCGCCGCAACCGCAACAGCGATCTACGGCACCATCACCGGTGTCTTCAAGACCGTCCTCGAACCCTACAATATCGGTTCCTCCATGGGCAGCCAGATGCTCTCCGTCCTCTGGCTCGCCGTCGCCTTCTCCATTGGCTCCGGCTTCTTCTGGCTCATCAGCGTGTGCTGCTGCAGTGGAAAGAGCGGCCATAAGAAGATGGTCGTCGAGAAGACCCCTTACACATACGAGAGGGTTGCCAGCCCGGCATTTGGCCAGAGCGGGCATCAGATGTCAAGCTGGCCCAAGAGCCAGCAGGACCCGCCCAAGATGGGACAGCCAACGGCTTATGAGCCATTTAGGTCGCGCGTCTAAGTGTGAGGACAAAGGCACTGCGTGGATTGAGACGTTTTGGAACGTACCGTGGAAGTAAGAACGCACGAGTTCTCTAATGACATGTACGACCATCTTTGCGGGAATTTATCTGGGTACTTTATATACCCCAACGGCGTTTGTTTTTATAGCATCGTTATGGATACGGCCCCCTGTGGCTTGAGGGCGTTTGGATAGTTTTGCACATATCGGTATGAATCAACATCAATCATTCAAACCCACGATTTCCATAACATATTCAATGACACGCAGCTACTCTTTATCCCTTGTTCTCCAACCGCGTTACAACAACAGAAACGACAATCGTACAGACAGCCATCATGTACGCAGAGACACCAAACCCGCCTTGTAGATCAAATTGGAAGTTCCACCACAGAACGCCAAAGAGTAAGCTTGCTAGGAAAAAGATGAACAGGATAAGTAAAGAGATGATCTCACGATCCCAGCCCTCCAAGAAGTAAATACCCCATCCTTCCGCTGGCTGTCCTTTCTGGCCCTGGAGAACGCCACAGGTACGTTTTGGTAGTTGATTGAGAATCCAATCGTCCTCCTCATGGACATCGGTGGCGCATGTGAATAGACTCGCCAGGTACTCTGGTGGAATAGGAGGGTGGGTTTTGGGTGGACTTGGAGAGTACTCGTATTCCACACCGACCTTATTAGGAGGTGGAGTGCATTCGCAGTATTTCCAGTTCGCAGGGTCGGCAATGCAGTACAAGTGGTGCTGTACGTCTACACTGCCTCCCATTGGGAGGCGGAACTTGACAAAAACGATTCTTTGCACCGTTTTGAGCCGCGCGATGTTGAGAAAGCGGCCGCGGTGAGTGGCGTACTGTCGCTGGAGGAAGCGCAATAGTGTCCGATCTGTAGTGATTTCATCGACACGGTCTTGCTTGACAATCTTGCGTCGTCTAGTACGGTGCATGCACATTGAGAGATGAAGTATTTTCTTTGTAGTAGACGGGTTAGTAGAAGTTGAGCAAGAGGTTGTTGCGTATGGCGAGTTGTGCTGTGGTAGACATGACGGCGGAGACTTCGAAGATCCTCCAGATACCTTTCCTAGTTTGGTGATTGCGTTTCGGAGCCATCGATCAGGACGCGGGACAATGTACTGCTGGTTGCTAGATTTGTGGCTGTACGGTGCTGCGTGTACTCTAACGCCAGGAGAACGCTGCATGCGGACTATTAGCTCAGCTATACCGCCTTCACGAAGCTCCATTATGTCGCTGTATATGGAGTCACCACATTTCTAAGCAGTGTTTAGCAATCCACCTTATGTCGTAAAAAATTTATTCTGGACGGGAAAAACTTACACATCGCCAGCGTAGGCGAGTCTTGTTTTGGTCCAATGCTGGCTCAAGAAGCCCCATGTTCACTAACAGATGGTCTATAGTAAAGAGCAAAGTACCCAGATCCAGATGGAAACCGGTAGCAATAAGAAAAAGTGCAAATACTTCGCTGTAAGACATGCTCAAGGCTTGACTAACATCTTTGAACCATTCGTGCCAGGTCGACATCGTCTTTGACTGAGCCGGCGACCTCAGGACGTCATGCTTGACAATACCTTCGTCGTCGCAGCCCAACGCCTCCTTTGTCACCGTTTCAGTTCGATCCGCTGGTGCCAGATTAGGTATTACAAATGCTTGTAGTTGATTGTGAAAGGTTTTGAATGCTTCGCTCTCAACTAAGAACTGTCGAAAGGTCACCAAATCCTCGAAAGCGTCTTCATTAACCGGATGTGAATCAGCGCCATCCTCCTCCTCGTCAGAACTTTCGTTGTTGCGTTCGCTGGGAGACAACTCCGTGCTTGCATGGACGATTTGCAATTTCTCGATGACCGATTTTGCTAGAGAAGCCGATTTTGCGCGCACAAGCCGCGATGCTAGATGCTCTAATCTCTCTGTCGCTTCACCTTCTAAGAGGCCTGCGTATGCTCGAAACAGTCGGCGTAGGTTCCTTTCAAGCCTTTCGGGTCCGATGTTCTGGGCTTCTATAGCGCGTTTATACAGCGACAACAGTGCCTCGTCTTCGTAGAAGATAGAGAGTAGCACCTTCGTAGCTGTCGCAATTTGGACTTTAGAATAGCCGCTGCCTTTTGATATGACGGATGCCGATGATGCTAGAGACGCCACCGAAAAGATCGAAGCAACCGACGCTGCGTAAGAAGACGGCCCTGACGCGCTGTCATTGTAGTCCCACTCAAAGTTCTCAAAAGTACTTTCATTCACAAGTGTCGTCTTCAACCAGCTTTCGACGGGGTGAGTGGGAAGAGGCCGAGCTTGTTCAAACTCTTTAAGCACATTCCTTGTAGCTCCTTCGTCTCTTATCCCTCCTACTTCATGGTCTGAGGTTTCGTCCTCCCCAGAAATCTCGGATCGCATCTCGTTGAAGGTAGTTGTTGTATCCTCCGGATCCCATGGCAAATCGTCTCCCGGTGTGAAGTCCTCGGGGTCAAGAGGTGCTTTCATTATTCGCATGAAGTTCTGATCCTCAAGAATCATACCTACTGTCTGTTTGAATATCTGATTGAGGTCTTGAGCCTCGGCGGATTCAGCGGCTTTAGCAGCTTCTCTAGCTTCACCTTCCAGTTGCTCCTTCTCTTCATGCTCCTTCTTTTCTTCAGCCTCTCGCTTAGGCGTCTTCGTCTTTATCCAATTCTTTCCCTTCTTCCTCCTGTAGAAACCAGACCCTAAGCTGCCCCATCCAGAACTTGCCTCAGCTTCTTCCTCTTCTGCGGCCGTACGTGCTGCTTCAGGTTCTTTAGCAGCACGCTCAGCTCCTTCTGCCGCAATACTTTCCTCTTCTTCACGCTGAATGCGTTCCTGTTCTAAGCGTCCCTCCTCTTCCGTACGCTTAGGACGCTCCCTCTCTGCTTGTTCAGCAGCTTCCTTCGCTGAACGCTCTTTCTCTCCCTTCTCACGGTCTCTCTTCTCTCTAGATAATTCCTTCTTCTCTCCTCCGCCAAATATAACGGCGCCCCCGACTAGGAGCTCCTGAACACCGGCTTCTTGAGTATACGGTGTAGACGCATTGCCTTCCGCATGAGTGCTGTTAACTCCCTCTTCATGGAGCTTATCGCACGCGTGGTTAATTTGTGGTAGATCTGAGTCCTGCAGAAGTTCATCGGGAACTTCCGGAAGCCCATGAAAATCCCCGTAACTATGATGTGAATCTCCGAATGAAGGGTCAATAGAGAAAGGCTCTATGGCAGATCGAGGTGCTGTGTAAGTCTTATCTGCTCCCAGTTCGTCATTGTCATCAGCATTCATAGCGATGGATTCCGGCTCACGAGCCTCATCGGTGGCCTCGCGGCGCTCCCGGATTGCTTTCGTACGGTTGGCCAGCTTCTGTATCTCCTCCCTAGTCAAGACACGCGGAACCATCACGCAATCTACGCGCTCTTCGAAACGCTCCTTAGCTTCCTCTAAAGCCTCAGGGTTAACTAGGCGGCGATCAATTCTTGTCCATCGGGCTCCGATGGGAATGTACTTGTCCTTTAAGGCGTCCTTGTATGGTGCAACTCCCTCGCGGACGAGTGCAGGGTCCTCGGGGAACTTTTCGGTAGCTTTGCGAAGGATACCTTTAATAGGCGCAACGTGTCTTCCGGGAGGCTCATTATGAACTTCTTCAGCCGCAGTCTGTGTGTCTTCCATGACGGAAGGTAAGCGGGCAGGGCTAAATATTTCGACCGAAGGCTCCCGCGGATAGCTGCCTGTGGCTCCACCGTTCCACTGCCAACCAGGTCTAACTGTCGCGAGCCGATTTCCGCCAAAGCCGGTGTCCCTTGGGCTGTTTGTGTTACCCCATTGCCAACCAGGGTCTCTTCCACTGGTGTCGATATGACGTGGAGGAGGCAGGGGTGGCGGTATTTCGGATCGTGCTCTAGGAATTCTCATTGCAGTTTCGGCGTTCTGAGCTACAGGTTGTTCGCTACCAGCTTCCTTTTTGCTCGTTCTTCCACTAGAATTCTCAATTCCAGCTTCAACCTCGTTCGTGAGGTGTGCTATATCAAACCCCAAGGAACGGCTTTGGTTGGCTTGGTTGCGTTGAGAAGGAATTTCAAGCGACGTCCCGTATGTTCTATGATGGCCCTGATGTATAGGATCATGATTGTCCGAATCAAAAGGATCAATCAACTTGATATCTGCTTCCTTGGACTTTCTAGAGCTGGAGGCTAATGTAGACATAGGAACTTCTGGAAAGCCCGTTCGCAAAGTATTCGAGGCTTCAGAATCTTTTGAGTCTGACTCGATAGCTGCTTCGTGAGATCCCCTGGAGTCGAGGGAAGACCGATCAAATGGTTTACTGGAGACAGAGATCGATGGGTATTTTTTAGTCTTAGTCTTGTCTTTCTTAGAACCATACTCAATGATAATCTCAGGCCTTTGGCCGTCCCGAGTAGAAGGGCGGCTGCTACTACGCGATGGGCGACGTGTTTGAACTAGGGATGCTCCACTACCAGTAAGAACTGGTGGGTTTATCGGGGTTATCTCAGCTGCTTTGTGGATCTGTTCGTGAAATGGATCGCGGCTGCTCGGTAAGGCTTTAGGCTCAGCTGTAGTATCGAGCAAGCGCTGATTTTCTGCTTCAGGATGGCGAGACTCCTCTCTGGCTACCGACCGGGCCTTTTCCTCTTCAGCCATCACTTCTTCAGCTCTCTCCATTGCGCGACTGTCTGCACGATCAAGTTCGAAACGCACGCGCCTGTCGTTCTCTTCTGCCGCTTTTTGCGGGCTATAATCGACAGGAAACTGTAGCATTTTTATTGTCTCTTGCCTCTCACTACGCCTCTGCGCCTTCTCAAGTTCCATTAGGCGTTGCTGATCTGCTAGCTGAGTCGGTGTCATGGATGAGGATAGTCTGCGAGTACCACCACGCGGGTCCCAGTACCTAGGTTTCTCATGTTGGTTCTTAAAGGGTGCCGCTAGTTGTTCATCTCGTTCTCGAGCTTCTGCAGCCTGCCTCTCACTACGCATCATCGCCTTCTCAAATTCGATTAGGCGTTGCTGGTCTGCTAGCTGAGCTGGTGTCATAGTTGAGGACAGTCTGCGTCTTGCAGATGGCCTCCTCTGAGCTACTCTGTAGTTCTTCTCATGAATCATGTTACCGCTCGCACTTTCGACAGTACGCAAGTCCCATGGATCCTCGAAAGTAAGTAAATCCCATGGGTCAGGCGATATTACGGAGGGCGACTTTATAGATGAAGCTGCGAAGGGATTCTCCTGACCACTAGACGAAGGGCGTCTAGATAACGACGGCCTAATAGCGTATTCCTGGTTAAAGTTCTTCGGAAACGACAACAGTGGAGGCGCACGTTTTCTCGAGCTAGAAGGTCGGTATGTCTCTGCAGGCACTTGTGTATCAAATGCTAGAGGGTTTGGTTGCGAAATGCTTGTGCGACGCTTGCTGGGAGTTCGATCAAAGTTGGCTGGACGTGGTGGTGTTGTAGATTGTGGTGCCTTCGCAGTTCGGGCTTCTAAGAGGGGTGACTTGGGGAGAAATTCGTCGTCTTGGTGGTGTTCTGAGGATTGGACGGCGTCCGGCATCCTTGTGATTCAGTGAGGCCAGAGATTTAGATTGGGAACATAAGAACTCTGTAGAAGATTGTGTTGGTGAGGCAATCAACCTCGAAGATGCGGTTTAGGTCGCTGTCGACCAGGCTGCACGCTTGATGTGTCAATTTACGCGCCTGCCTCGCAGCCCCGCCGCACTACTTCCAGAATGTGCAACATCAATCAGCCTTGTGTGCGCCTCATGCATATGCTCAGCTTCTGGTGGATATCAATGGCTGTTCGGAGTAGGATTGACCAGTCTGGGTAGAGCGATCTACGTTGAGGCTGTGCAATTGCTGCAGCCACAGAAGCCAGAACAATATAAGCCAATTACATAGGCTGTAACATCTATATCACAGCCATGAATATATTGGTACTTGCAGATGCAATGGGGAGAAAAATCTATGAGATGCCGATTGTCAAAAAAAGCGCATGATGCGCAATGTTGGGTTTGTGTAGGGGTAAGGCGCGGCGTCTTCTTCGAGGCTGCATCGTGAGCCTAACCGTCCAGTGACATTTGGATATCTGGCTTAGATATTGCTTGTCACTATAACCTGTGGTATCGAAAGTGATAGTGGAGAGAAGATGGGGAAGAGCACAGCGGTGGACGGCGCTGCAGCTGGCGGTTGTATGTGAGGCTCACGCTCGCGCCCAATTACCGAACCAAGCAATGCGCGAATTCGCTCTGTACCATCGTCCCCACGCTTGAGACTTCCACCCTCTAGAAAAAGTGAGCTTTCCGCCGCCAATAACGGGAAGTCGTAAAACTGATCTACTCAAAGGGCCAATGTCCAACAGATGTTAAAGCCGAGAATCGCCAAGGCGCTAGTCTCCAAGCGATATCACCGCGTACAACCATCGTCATCAATAAGCGCCCCATGAATAGCTCTACTTACGGTAAATGCAACTAGTTCGTCACTTCGAGAGCAAGCATAGCAGTATTGTCTACCTCGCGGCGTTCATGCATGTGTGAGTCCGCGATAAGACATCCCGGTGCTTACACTATCCAGGCGGGATCTGGCTTTTCAACGAATAGGATAAGCTGCAGACAGCCACCTCCAATGGCGACATTGGACAGTTCAGCCTTTTTTTTTGGTCAGCCGCACTGAACCTGGATTTTGGTACACGCGGGATCGACTTACAAATATCGGAGACTTTATATGCCTTCGGACGAAACTTTACGAATATTTCAATCGAAAGGTCATCGTCAAGGTCTCCGCACTGACACCTTACCAAACATGCTTTGGCGGTCTCTTAGATGCTGATCACGCCTTCGTGTTGCTTTTTGACAAGCATCGCGACCGGAGGGGTATCGTCTTCGGGTAATGCATTGGCTTACATGGCTTGCACTACACCGATCCCATGTACCAAGCAAACATATCTCGGACCTCTCCGCGCGGTCGTCCGCTTAGACAAGACCCTGCTATCTACTTACCTTACACATGTCGCAACCATTGGTTGGTGAATCATTAGATCTTACCTCCGATCACGTTTTATGTCCGCTTACTCCGCTAAAACCACACGCACCTTCGTTGAACTACTGTCAGAAGAGAAGTCGACGAGTCGCAACACTGCAAAAATCGGGTCGAGCAAGGACTCCCTGACTTCTGTCCTATAGCCTGCCAGTACGTGGTGGAGGGTAAGACTTACCCATGTAGATTGTGACTGCTTCAGGAGCTATCGGAGACATACACGAACAGTACGGCATATCCGTCTCTGACTCCGCTGACATATTGTGGGACTTTGTTATTCTCTTCTGCCAAGAGCCATACCTTCATGATGTGCAAGAGAGTCTGACAAACTTCCGTGCTGGGCATGTAAGACATGGAGTTAATGTGGTAGCCGGAGTGGAGGATATAAGCCTACAGAACAGGCTCTCTGTGCCAACACAACATCACCAAGTTTCAGCCTTTTGTCCTACAAGCACGCTTCCCTTGACGGCTTCTCAACTTACCCTCACCTGCCACTCCTGGGTCGCTACTACTAGCTATATACATACTTCCTTGTCCCCCCTAATATCTCCTTCCAATCGCACAACCTCTACAGTAACATCGCCAAAATGTCATACCTCTTCAAACATTCAAGCGTTGGGACCTTAGCACATTACATTAAGCATCGCAAATTCGACTATACCCGCACAACAGCAAAGCCGATATCTGCTTCATCGTCGACCGACGACCTCCCCTTCCCAAAAGAAGATGTCATCACAGATGCAGCTGTTGGAGCAGAGCTTAAGCAGCACCAGACCACACTTGTCGATTGGAATGGTCCAAGCGATCCAAGCAATCCTCAGAATTGGCCTCAATCCCACAAGATACTTGTGACAGTCTTGCTCTGCGTCTACACCTTCGCCGTGTACGTCGGCTCCTCGATATACACTTCCTCACAACAGGCTGTCATGGACAAGTTTGACGTCAGCCACGTCGCTGCCTCGCTGGGTATTGCGCTCTACGTGCTGGGTTACGGTATCGGATGCCTGCTCTTCTCACCACTGTCCGAAGTACCGGCTATAGGCAGAAACCCTCCGTACGCGATATCTGGTTTCTTCTTCATCATCTTGTGCATACCAACCGCGCTGGTGGACAACTTCGCTGGTCTGATGGTACTGCGTTTCCTCCTGGGATGTAAGCACGACCCCTTCTCGGTCTGTTTATGAGATATATACTGACTTCCTATTTTCACATTTAGTCATGGCGTCGCCCTGTCTTGCAACCGCTGGTGCGTCTCTCGGCGACATCTGGACCATGGCGGAGTTCCCATTCGCTGTCGCCCTTTGGGCTGCCGTCGCAACCTTGGGACCTGCGCTCGGCCCGACTTTATCCTCATATGCCGTCAAGGACTTGGGCTGGCGCTTCTCGAGCTGGGAGCTGCTTATTATTGCCGGTCCCGTATACCTCGCCATACTCTTGGTTTTGCCAGAGAGCTCAGGACCCACCATCCTGTACTACAAAGCAAAGCGCATGCGAGAGGATACCGGAAACCAAGAGTTGATGTCGGCCTCGGAGCGAAAGCAGAGGGACATGAAAGTTAGTAGCTTGCTGTTCGATGCTCTTGTCAAGCCTTGGGAAATTAACGCCCTGGATCCTGCTATCTTGTTCACCACGGTGTACATGGGCTTATGCTATGGCATCTACTACTCATTCTTCGAGGTAAGTACCCGTCTTGGTCAGATTATAGACAACACTGCTGACATGTACATCTTAGTCTTTACCTCTCGTTTATCCCGTCTACTACGGCTTCAATGCCGAGTCTACAGGCCTCATCTTCCTCTGCATCCTTCCAGCCTGTCTTTCCGCCTTTGCCGCGCATGTGCTATACCTCAAGTACCGCGTTTTCCCACGCCTTATGAATGGGACGTTCGGAGAACTCGAGAACCATCTATGGCCGGGTATGGTCGCCAGTCCCGTCATTGCAGTGGGCCTGTTCATCTTCGCATGGGCGTCCAGACCCTCGGTCCATTGGATGGTGCCTACCATTGGCCTCAGTCTTACATGTTTTGGCATCTACTTCATCGCTCAGAGTGTCCTGCTCTACATTCCCAACATTTACCCGACATACGCAGCCAGTATCTTCAGCGCCAATAGTCTGAGCAGAAGCGCGTTTGCATTTGCGGCGATCCTATTCGCAAGGCCCATGTTCCAGGGTATCGGGATCGATGGTGGTGTGAGTTTGCTGGCAGGCTGCATGGTGCTGTGCTCGTTCGGTATCTTTGCACTTTACAGGTTTGGCAAGACGTTGCGACAGCGGAGTCGCTTCGCTGTTGTCTGATGATGGAGATGTAATAAGTGTAGGGCCGTCGGTTGCTGCGCAGTGGAGGGCGGGGGGTTTTACTGCATGAATTAAGAGACCGTGTACAGAGAAATGACTTTCTGATCCCTAATGAGTAATAATAGACATATGAGAATTTAATATCACTGAGTCCATCGCTATAGCTTCTCCAAAGGCAATGTGAAGTCTGCTTAAGCTCGCAAAGAGTTTGCCGCGCAGTCGTATTTGATAAGGATCGGCGAACGCCAGCTCATGATTTGCGCCAGCACCCGCTGCGGGTCTGCAAATCACCTCCAGGGCTCGTACCGATTGCGCAACTCACCTCAGTCCCTGGATTGCTCACAGCACGTATCATTTTAGTCAAAAACTCACCAAGACAGGCTTCAGCGCAGTATGTTCGCATTCTTGTTCCAGCCTACTCGCCAGGCAGTCTGCGGAAGTGTGCTCGTCTCGAGGTCGCATCCTCACGAGATCTGCATACTCATGATAACGGGGCTTCAGCGCTGCAGATGAGTCAGAGCACGACAAGTCTCTGCCTTACAACTCATGTTGCTCTGCGCTTTCGATAGCTCCCGTTGTCCTCAAACCACGGGTCCCATAGCAGCGCGTGTGCTAGCTCCCTGGACGTGTCGTTTTCGCGAATTCGATGGATAGCGTTTGTCGCGGACCTCCCGCAGGAAAAACTGGTCCGAGGCTAGACCCACCACCTGTCTCCACCAAGAATAACCTATCGTCAGTCTTGGCTCATCAGACGGAGAAGGAACATCAGGCGGATAAGACGATATTCTAAGGGATCGCCCGAAACAACAAGACTAGAGCGCTCGAGAATATCTCGTATTTGTATAATATGTTGCCCGCACCAGGAACAAGGGCGGGCGGGCGGGAAGAGAAAGAGACCCTCGTTGAAGGATGCGATTCTGACAGGGCTGAAAGTGCCTGCCCCAAAACGGCATGGTTAACGCTCGGTGCCCCTGACTTAACCATCGCTTGAGCCGTAGCCGACGCCTCTTCAATCACAACCAACACCAGTTTACTCGGACTCGTTCCCCCATTGGGATGAAACCACTGCACCCAAGCCGCCATGAGAAGATTCCTGCAGGCAGCCACCCAAAGACCCGGTGTTTACATTGTCCCGACTGCATTTTCAGGAGACCATTGTGGTACCATAACATTCTCTGGCCAACTCAACCGGCATTGCCGATCCATCGCAAGATGTAATATCATCACGAGCAGAAGTCGCTGTCTTTATGTGCCAGCTCGTATAATGCAACAGAGAATAACCACGCCACCGGGACGCAGGACCGACTGACCGTTCTGAGCCATTATTCCAGGCACCACCCACCCTCCTTCCTTTTGCTGACGCTCGAAGGAACCCTCTCTACGATTTAACCGAGATTGATGCTATCGATACTCAGACACGGCCCATTCACCGGTCTTGAAGCTAGGGTAAGGCGTCACATGGAAGCGTTTCCAAAAGCCATGTTAATGCTTAGCGCTCGCGCAGGCGCAGGTACAGTTGGACGCCCTACGATACTTCAGACCGGAAGCGGCTAGAATCCAGGCACCTCTACCAATGGCATGGAACTACGGCAGCCATCGTCCTGTTTCTGCAGGTACACGATGCCGTCTCATTCTGCACGATGGGCTTCATGCTAATAGGCGGCACAGTCAACGTCCGTTCCATCTCGCTCATGCAGGTACAGCCCTGTGGGCCAAGACTAGATATAGCGCAATCTCCCATGTCCTCTTTTCTCATCGTCAGTCGCACTGCTTTCCAGTTCGTCGTCAAGTCACTCTTTCGAGACTACATCTTAATTGCAGCATTTTTGCTTGCGTCCTTTCGTTGAGTCCGCTCATCACGATCTTTACTGGCCTCCGGCCGTCCTATCATTGAAAATTGCATATCGTTGCTAATACTATTAATCCCATAATCATGTCTCCCTCAACCTTCACTCGCGCTGCTTTTGCAGCTGGGCTTCTTGCCTCTGGTGTCTCGGCGGCTTTCGACAATGCTGCTAAGACGAACATTGCCATGTACTGGGGACAAGGAAACGCTCAGATTCCACTGTCCGAGGTCTGCGCTGATCCTAACATCGATATCGTCAACATTGGCTGTAAGTAATGATATATCTCCATCAGTGGATCAGGATTCTCCTCTAGACTTGGAAGTAATGCTAATGGCATTGAATGGCAGTCATCAACGCATTCCCTTCGGTAGTAGGCTCATACCCGGGAAGCAACCACGCCAATGCGTGTGGTAGCGAAGTATACTACGACCCGGTTCTGAAGAAGGACAGCAAGCTTTACAGCTCATGCCCTGGCGTGGGAGATGCTATCACTGCTTGCCAGAAGAGCGGCAAGAAGGTCATGCTCTCTCTCGGTGGCGGTTGGCCTACTGACTACTATCTGCCATCCCCTGAGGTCGCTACATGGACTGCCCAATTCCTGATCGGAGCCTATGGTCCTCCCACCGCCGCCTGGAAGGCGGCTGGCAGGCCTCGTCCTTTCGGCGATGCCGTCGTTGACGGTTTTGACCTCGATCTCGAGGCACAAACCTACGACATGCCTTCAGCTGAGTACATTTACAAGAACTACGACATCTTCGGCAAGTACGTGAAGAGCAACTCGAAGATGCTTCTCTCCGCCGCTCCTCAGTGCGTTGTCCCAGACGTCAGGATCTCACCGGTCCTCAAGGCCGTTCCCTTCGACTTTATCTTCACTCAGTTCTACAACACCCGAGTCTGCTCTGCCGCTCAGGCCGTCCAAGATATCAAGGACAAGAAGACTGGCACCTTCACTTTCGACAAATGGATCTCCGAGATCAGGGCCTCTGCGAACCCCAACCTCAAGTTCTACATTGGATTGGCCGCAGGTCCGGATGGTCTCCCCACCCACAAGGAAGACTACCTCACGCCCGAAGATGCGAACACCCTGATTACGAAGTACAAGGGCAACACCAACTTCGGTGGTGTGATGCTCTGGGAAGCCTCCGTTTCCGTCAGGAACCCTACATACGGTCGGTCCTACGGTACTTGGATGAAGTATGCTGTCGAAGGTACCTTCTTGAAGAACTACAAGCCTATCGTGTCTTCCAGCACCAGGTCTTCAACAACCTCTACTAAGACATCTTCCACCAAGACACCTTCCAGCACCCCTGTTACTTCTACCAAGACCTCTTCCACCAAGAGCTCGTCCACCAAGAGCTCGTCCACCAAGATCTCGTCCTCTACTCCTGTCTCGAGCAGCAAGATCCCTTCCAGCACTCCTACCCCCAGCACCATGATCACCAGCAGCAAGACCTCATCTTCTGCTTACGTCACCTCCAGCATGGTTTCTTCGTCTGCATACGTCACCTCCAGCTCGATTTCCAGCAGCAGCAGCAGTAGCTCAGCATACGAAACTGTCTCTACCAAGAGCGCCAGCTCCGCCGAGACTGTCAGCAGCACTCTGATCGAGCCATCTTCCGTCGCAACGATCTCTGCGTCTGCCTCTAGCAGCGAGTCAGCCTACGTGCCTTACCCGACTGAGTCTGCCAGCTCTGTTGAGACCATCAGCAGCTCCGCGACTGAGTCTTCTTCTATTGACACTATCTCTGCCACAAAGGAGGGTAGCTCAGTATACGTGCCTTACCCGACCGAGACCCCGAGCTCTGTCGAGACTGTCAGCAGCACCTTCATTGAGCCGTCATCCATTGCCACGATCTCCGCATCTGAGACTCTTAGCAGCTCTGTCTACGTTCCCTCCTCGAGCGAGACGTCTGCCTCCACCGACAAGTACCCCACTGACACTGTCTCCGCGACTACCCCTGAGGGTGTCTCTTCGACTTCTTGCAGCACCTCCAGCGTTGCATACTCCACTGGCGCTAGCTCCAGCGATGTCTACTCGGTGTCATCTGTCGTATACTCATCTGGTGTCTACTCTACTGCATCCCCGGTGTACCCCACCTCGACCTACTCTGCCAGCAAGGGAATGGACTACCCCGACTATCCCGCCGAGAGCTCCAAGAGCGATGCTGCGTCCAGCACTGGCTACGAGAGCGTTTCATCGGTTACAAAGAAGCCTGAGTACTCTGAGTACCCCACTGCTCCTACTGGCTCTACCACCGCCACTGTCATCACCAGTAAGTCTATAGCGAGCTAAAATATCCGTTGACTATCCGCTAATATCTGATAGCTACCTACGTCGATGTCTGCCCTACTGGTCTGACTACCGTCACCACCACGTACTGGACAACCGTCTGCACCAAGTGCGCCGCGAAGCCCACCGGCTCGGCCGACGTACCTGAGGGTTGGACCACCAGTGTCTACACTGCCAGCACTGTTACCGTGACTCTTACCAAGCCCATCGTCACGCCTACCAGCATGCCCGCATACCCATCGTCCGCTCCTTCCGTCGCATACCCCGCGGACTACCCTGCTAAGCCCGTGTCCTCTGGCAAGCCTGGATACCCTGCCGTCCCTGAGGCGTCTATGCCCGCATACCCAGCTGCTCCTAAGCCCTCCAAGGCTGCCGAGTACCCAGCTATTCCTGAGGCTTCCAAGGGCGCCGAGTACCCCTCTGTCCCAGAGGCATCGATGCCTGCGTACCCTGCCGCTCCCCACTCCTCCAAGGCCGCTGAATACCCATCCGTCCCTGAAGCTTCCAAGGCTGCGGAGTACCCATCTGCTCCTCAGGGATCCATGCCCGCCTACCCTGCCGTTCCTGAAGCCTCCAAGGCGGCTGAATATCCTGCCATGCCCGAGGCACCCAAGCCAGCTTCTTCCTCTGCCGCCGCTGGCTACCCATCTGCGCCCATCGCTTCCGAGTACCCCAAGAAGCCTGTCGAGCAGGAGGTTACCAGCACCGTCCGCGTTACCTCCACCCTCTCCAAGGTCGCCGTTCCCACTTACGCTCCCGCTCCTTACCCAACAGTCAGCGCTGGAGGTGCACCTTACGTCCCTGCCGGCTCTGCCAGCAGCTACGCACCCATGCCTACCGGCACCGGTGTTGGTTCCGCTTACCCTTCCATGCCAGCGGAGTTCACAGGTGCTGCTAGCCGTGCTGGTGCTGGGTTCATGATGGTTGTTGGTGTTGTTGCTGCCGTTCTTGTTCTATAAGGTTGAGATTTGATGGTTGGAGAGTTGTTCTGATGTTTACGTTTCTCATGTCATTTCGTACGTTTTTTAGATACCACTATACATAGTTGTATGTCATGCGAGTACGCGCGATTTTTGCTCTCTGTTGCTTGATCTGTTCCTTGCCGTGTTCATTGACGACGCTCTTCGTGTTTGAATGTCCATGTAAACGCCCCTGCAATGCTCCGCTTGGAGTGTGTGGTAATAGCAAGCTGGCAATGGCTTATTAATGATGCAGGCGGAAGAAGAGGGTTGCGGATCGGCAGCGGGAGGCCGCGGGGGAGAAGCTTGGAGCTTCGAAACGTGGTGGAGACAGCCCAGTCACCTTTCGTCATTCCCTCGCGAACACCAAATCCACGCAAACGCGCAGCCTTTGTCGACGCAACAAACTCGACCGTCAGAGCGCCGCGATGCCCATACAGAAGCCATTCCACTTACGTATCGTTCCGCCTGACTGAAACTCGCAGCCTCACCTTGCGTTCGCCTAGCTGTTTGTAGAAGCATCACCTTTCACCTAGCATTTGCCTCTCCGCTTCTTTCTCGAGCTACTCTCACCAGACCCATATAAGCTCCTGGAAAGATATACAACGTGTCAAAATGAAGTACACAGTCTATGACCGCTTACTCAAGCGCGAAGTCGGACAACAGCCCAGGAAATACTCCGACATTCGATCGATATACGGTGATCGCAAATGGATTAACGACCTTGACATCGTGAACGAGCTAGAAGGCCACAACGGATGCGTCAATGCTCTTAGGTATGCCATTGCCCTACATGAACACCAGTAGCACGACCTGACTCTATTAGTTGGTCAACTTCAGGCCGGTTACTTGCCTCTGGCTCTGACGACCATCGCATCAATATCCACTCGTACCACCCCGAATCGTCCACCTCGCAGTTCAGCCTCACGACTTCTATCGAGACGGGTCACCGGTCCAACATCTTCTCGGTGAAGTTCATGCCCTACTCGAACGATCGCACCATTGTCAGCGCAACAGACGATGTAAGGATATTCGATATCGAATACTCAGGGCACTCGGCCCTCCGGTCTACTGGCAGATCCAACAGCGGAGGAAGTGCAGGCAGAGCACGCAGTAGGGTGACGCTCACAGAAGCTGACACCAACGCAAAAGCATTCCGTTGCCACACCGACACTGTCAAGCGCATCGTCACAGAAGACAATCCCTTCTACTTCCTTACATGCTCGAACGACGGAGAAGTACGGCAGTGGGACGTACGGCAACCTTCAAGGGCATATCCGCCTGCACGGGACACCATGCTACCTGCCTGGGCGAGAGACGAAGACGCATCAGACAGTATTCCGCCGCCGCTCATCTCGTATGGCAGGTATGGACTGGATCTCAACACAGTATCTTGCTCGCCTAGTCAGCCGCACTACATCGCATTGGGTGGAGCGCATCTCCATTGCTTCTTACATGATCGACGTATGCTCGGCCGTGACATCAACAACGAGCGGGGATCCAGACTTTCTAGTCCAGGAAACTGGAGTGAGAATGATGAAGAGCTGTTAGGAAAGGCAACACAATGCGTCAAGAAATTTGCGCCTAACGGGAAGCGTCGCATGAACAGAAGCGACGGCGGTCACATTACAGCGTGCAAGATTAGTGATGCTGAGCCAAATGAGCTCATCGTGAGTTGGTCTCAGGATCACATTTACAGTTTCGACATCCTGAGGGCCCCAGACGCTAGAGAGAATGTGAAACCCGTCAAGACGTCAAACAGTGGATCTAGCCATCGTGTGAAGGACACAAGTAGGAAGCGCAAGCGACCAAAGTCTAGCACCTTGTCACAAGAAGGTGTGGAGAGAGCAGAGTCGAGAGCACGAACCGCAAGTGCTGATGAGGACCTGGCACTCCGAGTGACCTACGGAAACGGTCAAAGTGAAGATATTCGCATTCATCCTCCTGCCGAGAACCGCATGACCCAAGAAGAGTTGAATGATCTGCGAGCATCGGATCATTACCGTATTGCAAGCACAACTGTCAAAATAGCAAAGCAAATCTTTGAGCTTGGAGAGCTCGGTGAGTCAGGACTCCGACTTGCATGCACATCTATCGTAGGTCTGGCGCATTCAGTCTTGTCCGACATGGATGATATAGACAGGACTTGGGGCTATCCGATCGACCCAGATCCGGTAGACGTCGCAGTTCAAAACAAGCTCCGCGATAGCAGAGCGGCCTCTCGTCGCTTCGTACAAGCAGCTGGGACGTTAGCCCGTGTACTGGGGGGACAGCTCTTGACCGGGTCCAGCTCCGATGCACTGATTGCTCAGTATTTCGCGTCTATACAACCGGCGCCGCGAGAACGCGAGCTTCCACAACACGAACAGTTTGGATATGATTTCCTGAAAGCTATACTATTGTGGATCGACAGTGGCCCTGCTGCAGTTGTGGAGGGGTTTTCGCGTCGAAGTGGCAGCGCTCGCTTCCCCATTCCATATGATTCTGATTTGGATGCTATCCAGGAGCGGTTGGTTCCATATCTGCTTGAATTGGCAAGCGATAATAGCATCGTCAACGTGGATGCTTCCAAGTTCGAGACAGACACTACTCGGATATTGTTCGACTCCGAATTCGAGGCTGTAGATACCTTTGGCCATGCACTCAAAGTACCCTTTGCTGACCTTACTGGCGAGAGAGATCCAACATCAGAGTCAGAATCTTCTAGTGAGCCCACGCAGACTCGAGCTGCAGCAAAACGGAGATGGGTGTATCAAGTTGGGAGGGGTGTACTACGCAATGCAGCCAAGGATATCAAGTTTGCTTTTGTGGATCGCGCCTTTGGTGGTCAGGGTATATCAGACAAGACGATCAGGGCGGAAGAGAAAGCATTGAGAGAACGACAGGAGGAAATTGATACCACAGTAGATGAGGGGCCGGTTCGGGATGCGGAACTCGTCAGCACAGCAGCACGAGAGAACAGCGACCGGGAAGAGGCTACTCTAAGCGCTTCTCATGCGAACGAGTCGGAATCAGTGGTCGTTGAGAGTGCTGATGAAGATGATGAAGAAGAGGATGATGATGATGATGATGACGACACCGACGGTGATGCAGACTCGGACGACGGAGAACAGGAAGACGATGACGACTCTGACTCCGTCGACGAAGAAGGACTTCAACGTACACGATCTGGACACATGCTCTGGCGATCAGACTTCAGCCGCAGTCGTTACAGGCGATGGAGAGTCGAGCGCGACGTCCCTTGTATACCCCATACACGTGTCTACACTGGCCATTGCAACGTCAAGACAGTCAAGGACGTGAACTATTTCGGCCTGCAGGACGAATACGTCGTCAGCGGGAGTGACTCTGGGCACGTTTTCATTTGGGATCGCAAAACAGCAGAGCTTGTCAACATCTTGGAGGGAGATGGTGAGGTGGTGAATGTTGTTCAGGGTAAGTTTCGTATACTCAAGTATAGAGAGAGAGGAAAGAGTCTAACATGGTTTGAATAGGTCACCCCTACGAACCCACAATGGCAGTTTCCGGTATCGACCACACGATCAAGATCTTCTCTCCAGACGCCCACCTGCAGCGTAACGCACGCAAAGGCGTCGGCGTGCAATCATCTGATCCAGGTTCCTTTTCCAGTCTCAATTTTGGCCGTAGGCGGCGTAACCGCGCCGCCGAGCCTTCTACTGAGGCTACTGAGAGTGAGTCTGCAGTCGACGCTCCCAGTGACAGCGATGACGAAGTTGCCCCTGGTGGACTGAGCAGTCGGAAGAGGATGCACCAGAGTTATCAGATTACGAGCCAGAACGATATGGATAGGAAGGGTGGGAGGGATGATTATTTCATCAGTCAAGCTGTTTTCGCGCAGTTGGCGAGGCATATTGCGAGGGGGCAGGGTGGAGGTGAGGAGGGAGGAGAAGGTGGACCGGTTATCATTACTGAGGAGAATTGTAACATCATGTAGTGTATGGATGGGAATGCACATTTGAAAGAAGTTACCATGCTTTCGTCTGTCTAGCCATCAGAAGAAGTTTGTTGGCGCAATAAACATTCTCGCGTCCGCTCCAAGCGTTACTCCTATTCACGAAGGTCATCTGTCGCATACCAGAACCGCTTCACTCCCTAAGGCCAACACGGGAAAGAACTGCAACGTCATATGGGCAAGGATGAAAGCCTGGACGAAAATTCCGTATTCATTTCACAGCCACCAAGCCAATTACACGGGCGCAATCCAATGTTGTTGCGCCCTCCTAAACTTTTACTCCTATCTTGGAAGATTAAGCTCGGCATCCGCGATGCAAGCGTCTGTATCCCCCTTCTATGAGGCCTTCTTCTGCTTGGCCTTGAGCGCCTTCTTTCGGTTGCTCCTTATCATGACTACCGAGAGGAAGCTACCGACGACGGTGGTACCGAGGATGATGAGGATGACGGGGATGCGGATGGCCCAGACGCGTGGCAGGAAGAGAGAGTGAAGGATGTGGTCGTCATCCACGAAGGGCTGTATGGAGTTAGGACATGTTGCAGAACTAAGTAGGGGTGTAAACGCATACCATGAACAGAGTCCACACGGTGTAGTAGACGAAGATGGCAGTCGCTGCGACGAGCATGCTGAGACCTACAAGGCGATCGGCCTTCCTATTGTCAGTGACCATAGTCTTTCACCTGAGGGACTGCAACATACCATTGTGAAGTTTGGCGAAGGAGTGAACGAGTGTAATAGCTTAGAGTATTTGGTAGTTGCAATCACCTCGCTGTCCCTTCCCCCCCAAAGTCGCGCCAAGCTAAGGACCCCTGTCGGTGAAATCGCGGCCCGTTCGCCGCAACCTTGGATCGCCCAACCGCCTGCGAGCTAAACTTTTGCGAAGCGCGTCACTCACGCCTCACCACCGACATCCTTCACCCTCGACACGACCCGCTGACCGAGAATGGAAGTCGCATCTGCCGTTCGACTGCCTTCGCCGGAGCCGGAGCTCGACGACGACGCCAAGGAAGTTCCGCGCAAACGCGAGCGCTCACCATACGACGGACCGAGTGCTGGGCCATCGAAGAGAAGTAGGAGAGACGACGAAGAGGATGACCGTCGCAATGGAGGCTCAAGCCGTCGCCCGGCGCCAAAGCCCACGACCGACGACCTTCCTGAGGATGACTCGCGATTGAACCTCTTCAAGAATGCCTTCAGCGCGAACCGCAAGCTGCCGGTTGACGATTCAAAGACACGTGCTGGAGGCGCGTATATCCCTCCCGCGCGACTGCGCGAGATGCAAAAGTCGATTACCGACAAGAAGAGTCCCGAGTTCCAGCGCATGGCTTGGGAGGCGCTCAAGAAGTCGATCCAGGGTTTGATCAACAAGACGAATACGGCAAACATCAAGATGATAGTGCCGGAGCTGTTCTCGGAGAACCTGGTGCGCGGGCGCGGTCTGTTCTGCAGAGCTATTATGAAGGCGCAAGCAGCCAGTCTGCCCTTCACGCCCATCTACGCAGCTATGGTCGCCATTGTCAACACAAAGTTGCCTCAAGTTGGCGATCTGCTGGTTCGACGTTTGATTGTGCAGTTCAGGAAGGGCTTCAGGAGAAACGACAAGGCTGTCGCGCTATCAAGCACCATGTTCCTTTCGCACCTCGTCAACACACAAGTTGTCCACGAGATCTTGATCGCCGAGATCCTGCTTCTCCTGCTCAACAAGCCCTCTGATGACTCCGTTGAGATTGCAGTCGGTATCATGAAAGAGGTCGGCGCTTTCCTCGACGAGATGAAGCCTGCAATCGCCAATGCCATCTTCGACCAGATGCGCAACATCCTCCACGAAGCCGACATCGACAAGCGAACACAGTATATGATTGAGGTTCTCTTCGAGGTTCGGCGCACAAAATACAAGGACAACCCTGTCATAAGGGAGGACCTGGATCTGGTGGAGGAAGAGGATCAGATTACCCACAACCACACGCTTGAGGGCGATTTGAAGGTCGAGGACGGTCTGAACATCTTCAAGGTTGATCCAGATTACGAAGCGCATGAGGAAGAGTACGCGAAGATCAAGGCTGAGATTTTGGGTGAAGAGGAGGGTAGCGACGAAGATGAATACACGGATGCATCGTCTGAGGATGAGGAAGACGAGGAAGTGAAGGCCATGGATGTCAAAGACCAGACCAATGCGGACCTCGTCAACCTGCGCCGAACTATTTACTTGACCATCAAGAGTAGTGGTGGTTTCGAGGAGTGTGTGCACAAGCTTATGCGCATCAATCTACCACATGGTTTGGAAAACGAGCTCACAACGATGATCGTCGAGTGCGCAAGTCAGGAGCGCACATACGAGAAGTTTTACGGCATGATCGGAGAGCGCTTCTGCAAGCTGAACAGGATGTGGACCGACCTTTTCGAGGAAGGATTCGCCCACTACTACGAGACTATCCACCGGTTCGAGACGAATCGCCTTCGCATCATCGCACAGTTCTTCGCCCATCTGCTAGCGTCTGATGGTATCGGTTGGCACGTCTTTCAGGTGGTCAAGATGACGGAGGAAGACACTACATCCAGTTCACGTATCTTCGTCAAGATCCTGTTCGAAGAGCTCCTAGCCTCACTCGGTCAAAAGGTGGTTGTAGAGCGATTCAAGGATCCTATGCTGCAGGACAGTCTTACTGGTATCTTCCCCACGGATGCAGACGACCAGAGCAAGACACGCTTCTCAATCAACTTCTTCACAGCCATCGGTATGGGTGTGCTTACCGAAGGCATGCGCGACTGGCTCAAGAACAGTGCGCCCAAGCCCAAGCCACTTCCCGAGCCAGAAAGCGACTCAGACGATCGCAGTGTTTCGTCAAGATCAAGCTACACTTCAAGTAGCTACTCGCGATCCCGCAGCCCGGTTCGCAGAAGGCGCGACGACTCAAGATCTAGGTCCAGATCTAGCTCAAGGGGCCGTTCGTACACACGCAGCCCTTCGCCAGCTCGCAAACGTGGAGGTCGTGGCAGAAGCGGCTCTTACAGCTCCGCATCCCGCTCTCGATCACGATCCCGTTCCCCAGCACCCCGCAAACTCAAGAGCAAGCGTTCTTACTCATCCTCCCTTTCTCGATCACGCTCCCCAGCACCCAGGAAACGCGGTCGCAGCCCCTCATCCTCGGTATCCCGATCTCGTTCCCCACCGCCAAAGGGCAAATCAACACGCCGTGGACGTAGCCCATCTGGTTCCGTATCCCGCTCTCCACCTCCGCGCCGTAGTCGAAAGTACTCGACGTCCCCGTCTCGCTCGCCATCTCCCCCACCGCGTCGCCGACGCGATTCTAGTAGTCCGCCTCCCAGGCGTAGACGCGCGTCGAGCAGTCCACCGCCATCCAAAGGAAAGGGGAGAGCGAGGGATGTTAGTGATAGTCCGCCGCCGCGTCGTAGGAGAGACTCTAGTAGCCCACCGCCCGAGAGGGGCGTCAATGGAAAGGGGAAAGCGGTAAAGAGGGAATACAGTGAGAGCCCACCACCAAGGATTAAGAGGGATGATAGTAGTCCACCTCCCAGGAGAAGGAGGGACTCGTAGTTTGAATTCCGAGGCTGAGGGCTAGGTAGTCTCGCAACGTGACAAGAGTGGGGAGAGAATTGTGGGCTGTATGGAAATGGGCGTTATATCGTTTTACGGGCAGGAAGAGTGTATGGAATGGCAGCGTTTGCATTGTACGTTTACTGGAAGCATAGCTGTGAGATTGAGCGAAAGCAAGTTGCGGCAAAATCGTGGTATTAGTTTAGGTATATCGACCGATCTAGCTACGAGAACAGAGATATATCATCGCATCGGCAGCCTCGTACTGAACAATCCTTTCATCTGTGCGGAAATTCGTTGATCTTGTTTTCTTTCCGTGCTTTGGTATCGTCGTGGCGCTGCAGAATCCGTAGAGGAAGCTTGCGGTATGCTACGTGCAATATCCTGGTAATGGTTGAGATGTTTGTTGACACGCTTGCGCGACGGCAAGTTTGTACGAATCTACTGCTACGCTGTACTGCTTGGCTGAGTAGACCGTCGAGAGGACGCCAAAGAGGATTGTCAAGAAGAAAACTCCGAAAATGGCCACCCATATGGTTGCGAATTGGGCGGTATTTCTTCTATCCAGTAGAGTTTGACGTACAGTCTCCGGAGGTCCATAGAACAAACTCAGCAGTTGTGACAGACGACTCCTCCAGAACTCAAAGTCATCGAGTTCGATCGCTTGAGGTATATCAATTGAGTTCTCTATCCACATCTGGACCTTTTCGTCGTTCAAGAAGGTCTCTGTTGGTTCGTCACCCTCGGGAAATAGGAGATCGAGGGTACAGATGGTTTCGTCTAGAAGATCCTTTGGAATGAGCATTGGTTCGGGTTCTTTTCGATGGTTTATTAGGCAGATTTTATGTTTGTAGACTGATAGTTGTCGTTCTCCTCGCGACCCATGTAGTCTCAGATGGTCCGCTAGGTTATCAGTCCAAAGTATCTCCAATCGACATATGTCCTTTAAACCCACAGCTGTAAATGAATCGTCGAACAGGAATATCGACGCAGAACGTGCTTTCCTTCTGTTGTTCATGAATGGTGCAGCAACCGTCTCTTTCAGTGATTGATCGTTTTGCCATCGGATATAGGATACTTTCGACTTCTCTGGTCCAACAAATAATCCTTTGGAGCGTACGTTGATACCTATCCAAAGACGAACCGCGAGTTCGACAGAGCAAGCAATAGCCTTATCGCTAGTGTTCTGATAGTCCTTTCTCAATTCAGACACCAGTGCTTCTCTCCTTGTATCTCTACCGAAGCTCAACTGGGTAAGTATAGCAAGTATGCCATCCCACTCTTCTGTCGCGAACTCGTGACCGAAGGGACGCAGGCTTCTCAGAGTGTCTCCCCAATAAGCAAACAAAGCTGCATATTCGTCTTCGAAGTAGTCACTTTCTGAGATGCTTAAATGAGGCCAGAAGGCATTGATTAAGGCACACTTCTGTGTTGTTTCAAGGCCTTGTATGTCTGAAAACAGTCTCTTATCAACCAGCGACATGTTCCTAATACACCATTTTCCTGAAACGCAGATGCGAGGCTGTTTTGTTGGGAGGGGATTATTGTTGTGTTATGGTCCTATCAAGGCTTTTTCTGTTTCACGTAGACAGGTCGATGGGTTGTGATAGATTTTTTTGGTTGTCAGATTTACACGTTTTCCGATCCTGTACTGTGGACGTCATCCCACATATACCACACTCACAATATGCTAGCGCTTACCAATACAAGCCACCAACAATCTCAGCCTGATCTACTGGATTGTTGCGCCGGACCCCATATTCCCTCCTTCACTAAAACTATCAACGGCAAGTGCAGTCTATAGTACCAACCTTGAACCATAGACTGTATCGACTCAGACCGCATACCTACCTAGGTATGATGTGTGGCTGACATATCTAGGTATTAGAAGCTAGAACCAGCAACTACTATTGACAGTTAAGTGATGCGGCTGACATCTCCAGCTACGATCTACAGGTGTCACAAAGTATCGCTTTGGTCCTTCGCGCGAGCCATTGATTGTGTACAAAGTCTACCTAGGTACTACCGATCCTTCACTCATGCTTGCGTCGTCTCAGTCTAGCTGCCGTCCGGACATACAGTATAACCCGAAAATGACTGAACCCGCGGCAATACCTGATCCACCAGTTCTGGAGAAGCTTGTTCCACAAGCGGAAACATTCCTGGTAGAGGGACTCTACATAGGTCTTTTGTCGCGACATCGGCCCCCCACAGAGGTGCGAGAGTGGTTTGATAACAACCATGTTTGTGAGATGCTTAATATACATGTCAAACGAAAGAACAAGAGCACAGTCTACCTAACGGCTATCGTTTTGTGTATGGCCGGTCAGCTGGATGGAGTCAAGGTCCGGTTGACACCTACTGTCTGGATTTCGGGCGGTGACAAGAGGTCGAAGAGTAGCATCAAAAACTCAATCGGCAATGCGAGCTATCTCAACAAGTTCCTGACGAAGTTCCAGATGAGAGAGCCTCATGTCACCGCAAGCGGCCCAGAGATCTTGTCAGGAGTAAAAGTCTCTTCAGAAGCTGGCGTACACACTTTTGAGATCCGAGCTGCTGCTGACGAGAGCTTGGATTCTGTGTGTGGTACTAGTGCCAGATTTACTATGGAAGCAACATCGGATGGCAGTACCTTCAAGTGTTACTCCACTATTGGCGGCTTGATCCTAGTGGATGGTAACCTTTTCGCCATAACTACCGCTCATGCGATCACGAAATATGGAATGCCGAATCCTAAGGACATAGTCGTGGATGGAACAAATGGTGATACTTACGCCATAACAACCACTCACGCTGTCACGAAGTATGAAGTTCCGGATCCTCAGGACATGGTCATAAATAGAACAGATGATTCTTCCGTGCTGAGCGGCTCGCATGTGCGCGAATGGGAGCCCTCACCGTTCCCAAACGCTTTTGCATATTTGGGCGACGCGTATATTCAAGGCGTGAAAGTTGACAAGCCTATTGTTGATGCTGCAGATTTTGCTCTGGTCGAGCCCAAATCATTGCGGAAGCTAGGTTACAACACATACCAGATCGAAGGTTGGTCGCACTTCGAAGCAGTATCAGGCTACATACCAACTTCTGAACTCAAATCTGGGGATGTGACAATTTGTACAAACGACTACAGGCTTCCGATGAAGGGAACAATGGTAGAAGGAGACGCACCCATCATCGTGGGAGGTGTTGTGATGATTACGAAGATGATAGAAGTGACGAAGCCGGCTGGTATGTTGAGAGAGACCTCATGACATGCTAGGGCATTACTAATGGATTGAACAGCTCCCGGCTTATCGGGCTCTTGGGTCGTTCAAGATGGGAAATTGTGCGGTGTTGTATACGCAGGCAATGCTTCAATTCCATACCTTTACATTATTCCAGCCGAGATCATGCTGGAGAATGTAAAGAAGTTACTTGGATCTGGTACTGTGGGAGTAGCGACTGCTCAGAGCATATCTGAGTGGAAACTCCGAAATGTACACGATCACACCTTTGGATCTTCAGCCTATGAGTCTTCATCGCCTGATGTTAGGATCGAAACGTCTCAACAGCCTGGAGAAGTACGCTCTTGGTCTCCTTCAGTTTTGCACCCATCAATCAACTAACAAATCTCTAGATATCCTTGGATGAGACGTATCAAGTGGGAGATTTGGTTCGAACCAATGCTCCACTTGTTGGTGAATCGCAAGAAGTGTATACTGTTTATGGTGGTTGGATAGATCAAGGAGGCAGCATACAATACACGTTACAGAGGTCTGATAGAAAGTTGGCGGAGGGAGGAAAAGGATTCCGTAAACATGAACTAGAACTTGTTGCCCGGAAGAGTGACCTTCCGGTTGATGGAGGAAGAGAATACAGTGAACGTGAACCGGAATTTGTCTAGGAGAAGGGACATTCTGGATAACGAAGATTGGGAGAAAAGGCGTCGGCATCGGTGAATACCGTTGCAGCTATATATGACATGATACTAATGGAGTTTAGGGTATCTTCCATGTTGCAATGTCATTGTTTGCTACCAACTTCGGTCCTCCGCCACGAAACACGTGATTTCGTGTTTTTAGTAGGCTACGTCTGATATCAATATACAGAATTCGATCGTTTTCCAACGAAAGTAAAAGTGAAGGTGAAAGTAGGAGATCATTATTTCCATGTCCATTAGTCAATCCCGCCGCTGATAGCATATACCCGTCACCCTCCTCACCTTCCTTCTACCACGCTGTCCGTCAACACCGAACCTCGAACGAACTTGCCTCTTGTGTCTACAAGCTTACAATTTTAACAACAACCTTGATAAGTAGTCCATCCGCATCGCCCGGAAAAAATTGCACCATTCTCACACCCAAAGCACTCGGGCGCGCCATCAACGTCTCACTTCCATACACCCGCAAACTACGCTCCTCAGCAACAATGGACAACGACCCTGACACCCAGCGAATTCTTGCCCGCCTGGACAACTACGGTACTCCTCAAGAGATCGCTGAAAAAGGCTTTCGCGTCTGTCGTGTCGATGCTGATCTGCGCGCTAAGGTATGTTGTGACTACACAAAATGCATGCACTGACTTCTCACCTTCGACTCTATAGCTGAACAGGGTCAAGAGGGTTGCTGCAACTACGGCTGCTGTAATTGCCACGGATGCAATTACGGCTGCTGCACTTACGACTGCTGCAATTGCACACAGTAGTGCTGTCTCCGCCTCCATGGCCGCTTCCACATCATCTACTGCTGGCACCATCCCTATCCTCAAGAGAAAAACCGCAGTCCCCACCTCCACCATCCCCGCCATCCCTCCCCAAGGCCAGCCGCGGGCTATCAAGGCGCTCAAGAACAAGATCGCAGTAATGGAAGATGCTCTCACAGAGATGCGCAATGAAGCGCCCAAGATGCGCGAGTGCATGGCATGGATGTGGGACATCATTGGCAAGGAATGCATGAATCACATTCCAAAGCAGTTGAAGGATATGTACCATGAAACGATGGTCGTGGACTTGGTGAATTGGCAGCCAAACGGTAGGGTGAAAGGTGGCAAAGGTAAGGATGACTTGAAGAATACAAAGGGTAAAGAGGAGGTCAAGGTCAAGGAGAGGGCGTCTGCTGCCGACAATGTCGTTGCAGGTGTCAAGCGAAGGTGCGTATCGCCTCTTGGTAAAGACGCTAAGAAGATCAAGTTTGAGCAGAGGGAAGTCTAAGGTGCTGTGGTCGTTAAGTGAAGGTGTAGGTGGAGTGTTTGGCTTTGCATCGAGACCATGTCAACATCAAGTGGTAAACATGGGACCCGCTAAAAGTCGTTAGAGTACCAAGTATTTGCCAGGCTATACCAATAAACAAAACACGCTAAACATCACAGAAGAAGACACCATTATGAACTTAAAAATTCTTTATTCTATAGAAGAGACAAATGCAATCGCTAATTATCAATAGCCTTCCACGCACACACCACTGCACAGATGCGAAAATACACGCGTGAAGGATGATAGAAGAAATATTATCGCATCAGGTACATTTCCCTTCAGTCCCTTATTTCCTAGTTCATCGTCTATGAAACCTGGACGAACTGACCCATGGCCGGAACACCATCAACAACGACGTAGATGACGTAAGGACCGGCAGGCGCAATAGCCTTGTTAGGAGGCATGGTGACAGTCAAGCTCTGGGCGGTGGCACCAGCCTTGAAGCCGGTGTTGTCAAGGAAGATCATGCGGTGACCCATGTGGACGGAGTGGGTAACAAATCCACCGTAGTAGAGAGAGATCTTGACGTTCTTAGCGTTGGCAGGAGCAGTGAACTTGATGTTGAAGGTCGAGGCGACCTTGAGGTTCTTGGACGAGATCTGGACGGCGGAAGGACGAGTGGGGTTGCCCTGGAGGTAAGGGGGTGTGTAGATCTCGTTGCGGAACTCAGTGACGTAGGGGTTCTTGGCGTCGGGGGTGAGGATGGGCTGCTCGACGGGGTTGGATCCAGAGATCAGGAGGGTACCGTCGAGAAGGAGGAGAGCGACACTGTGGTAGAGACGAGCAATGGTGGAGGCAGGGCCGGTGGTGAAGCGCTTGCCCTTGGGCTGGTTGGGGTCGTAGAGAAGGACCTCGAGGGCGGGGTCCTGGGCAACACCGAAACCTTGGGCACCTTCTTGAGCACCGTTGACCCAGACGACGGTACCGTCGGGGAGGAGGGTTCCCTCAACCATACCACGGCCCTCGGGCATAGAGTCCATCTCCCACTCTGGGTTGGCATCGAGAGGCCTGATGCGACCGCAAGATGGGTCAGCAGGGGCGGTGATGTCTTGGTAAGGGCCACCACCGCAGATGATGATGTCGGGGTTGTAGTCGTTGGCAGAGGAGAGAGGAAGCATGACGGATCCACCAGTGTTGGGGTAGGTACGGTAGGTACCGGGAAGGTCAGGAAGCATGCGGACGACAGTTCCAGTCTCGACCTTGAAGATCTCAGCAGACTTGGAAACCTGAACGAAGAGGTTGCCATCCTTCATCAAGTGCATGAAGGGGTACATGTAGTAGGGCTGGTTCTTGCTGAGGATCTCCATGTTGAAGCTGGTTCCCTGAGGAGTACCGTCGGCGTTGAGCATCTCGTAGGTGGGGTTGTTGTTCTCGGGCTTTGAGGGGTCAAGACCGTTCTTGGATCCAGATGCGACAAAGATTTGGTCGTTGGGCATGATCTGGACGGAAGCGTACCAGCGGGGAGTATCGAGCTGGGTACCGGGCTCGTTCCAGGCTTGTCCGTCGAGGGAGGCATCGGAAGAGGAGCGCTTGAGGAGACGGATACCGCGGAAACCATCGCCAACAGTGGGGTCAATGAAGTCAAGAGGAGCGTTACCACCGAGAGAAGCGAAACGACCATCAGCAAGGAAGATACCACCAGAGCAGAAAGCGTTGGTCTTGTAAGCCAAGGGGGTGAGCTTGCCGGTGCTGGGGTCCCACTCAGAAGAGTAAGCGTACTGGCCGTTGGCGAGCTTGAGTTCAGTGTAGTTCTCGACCTTGTCAAGGAAGACGACCTTGCCGTTGGGCATCAGACCAGCGTGCATAGCAGGCACACCGGAGCGACCCTTAAGCGCGATGCTACCTGGCTTGGCGGCGCGAGGAGCAGGGCTGGCAGCAGGAGCAGGAACGCTGGGGGCGTTGACACAAGGACCGTTCTGGCAACCCTCACCGCAGTGAGCGGTGGTGTTACCACAGTAGCCGTACATGGAGCAGCAGCTACCCTGGGCCCAGTTACCGCAGACAGTGTTTCCAAACTTGGCACCACAGCTGCCGTCAGTAGTGGCGACGCCAGTGGGCTTCGCGGCAGCAGCAGTCGTGGGCTTACCAAGAACTGGCTCGCCAGAAGTAGTCGACGAAGGAGGACGGCTGGAGACAGGGGCAGGGTTGCCGTTAGCGGGTTGGCCCTTGGAAGGAGTTGTGTCCTTGCATCCGTTCTGGCATCCGTTGGCGGCAAGGCAGTGGCCGTCAGTGGTACCGCAGTAGCCGTAAGATGAGCAGCATCCACCGAAAGCACCGTTGGCATCGCATGTAGAGCCGCCAAAGTCCTTTCCGCAGCGACCGTCAGCCCTGGGCTTAGCAGCACCGGAAGTGGCAGCCTTTGTGGGCTGGGGGGTGGTGGTAACACCGCCCGCGCCGTTGCAGCCAGAAGAGCAGCCGGTTCCGCAGTGAGCAGGTGTGCTTCCACACCATCCGTACTCAGAGCAGCATGTGCCGGAGTAAACTGTGCTCTTGGGGTCGCAAAGCAGGTTGCCGTTAGCAGGACCGCACTTTCCGTCCGTAGAGTACTTGGCAGCCTGCCTCTTGGCGGGGACGACACGTAGCTGGGATCGAGAGACGAGCTTGGAGTACTCGCTCTTGAGGTCCGGTACGCAGGTTTCGTAGTCGCCGCAGTGCTGGCCGGTCAAGCATTTGTTGTAGGTGTCGGTGCTGGAGCAGTTGGGGTTAACCCAGTCGAAGTTGATGTTTGCGCTGGCCAAACCGGCGAGGGCGCCGAGGCCGATAAGTGATGCCTTCATTGTGAGGGTTCACCTGTTAAAGTGATTAGAAACGAGTGTGGTGATAGAAGAGAGTGTAAGCCAGCGATTGAGGCCGGTGATCATTCGAGATGCTGTTCTAGAATGATGATTACAAGGGTATATGTAGGTGAAGGTGATGAATGGCATTGATGATAGGGGGCGACGCAAGGACAGTTATGTAGTTGTTTTTGAGGGCGGGCAGATGGTTGTCGTGTCGCGAGGTTGGTGTTGCAAAAAAGAGGCTAACACCAGCATGCACAGCGACGTATTTTTGGCAGGCGGCAGGGAGCCCCGCGTGGTAGCGAGAACGCTCAGATGGAAAGTACGTACCTAGCGAAAACAAATTAAGTATTACTAGAGGGTTGGTTGTATGATGTCAAGGCAGCTGGAAACGAGTGACAGCTGTCGAGAGATGGGTAAAGAGTGAAGTGCTGAAGGCAGGGTGCTTAAAGTGCGCCTACAGCGATAGAGGTGAGGAGAGCAGAAGCGGGCGCGCCCAGATTCAAGTACCTGTGTAGAAAGCGCGTATACGAGGGCCGTTCAGCTGTGCTAGTCATCGCCTCGGCCATTTGCGACTGGAAAAGGAAAATTCAGGCACACATTGGACGCTTCGACCAGTAACGGTATTGCTCCAGGGCAGCCCTAAGGGGCACGAGCGGCAATCTCCACCCTGTCAGCCAATGCCAGCCCTGTGCGGCAAGATCGGCGCGGGGATAGGCCTACTCGAACTTCTATTTCTGGGCGCAAGGACTGGCTCCCAATGCACCGCCAGAGGGGAAGACGGCAATCGGCATGCGCTGGGCCTGATGCGACCTTGTGGGCGGGGGAGTAGGCACGCTGCACGCCTACATGTGCCCTCGTAATGGTGGGCCGCAACAGTGAGGCTATTGGTGAGGCACACGATGCTCAGGGACCACGTCGACGCCAGCGAAGGATCGTCCTGGCAACGTTGAAGCGCTGTCACCAAGCCGACGGAAGTACTCAAGCCTTTGCTAACGCCAGATAAGCTTCGCGAGTCGGCCGCATGGCGTCGAAGAGATTGCATCCACGGCACGCCTGGGGACGTTCTTTGCCCGAAATGGCAACACGTGCTGCGTGGCTCCCCACAGATTCATTACTTCGGGCTAGCGTGACAGGGCTTCATTCTGCGTCAGGGGAAAGGCACGACCAACATGTCCTGCAGTACCAAGACAAGTCCAAGACTTTTGCTGAAGGTTACGTCAAAGAAACCTTCCGCCGAGCAAACACTCAAACGTTGGAAACAAACCTCCAAAATCTCACCCTGCTGACGCCCCTCAAAGTTGCCGGTATCCACGCCTTCCGACGGGCCTTCTGGAAACCCTGGACGCCCCCGTATTCCCACACACACCGGCCATCCTTCTAGCTCAACAAGTGGACCATCGCTATCACGACCCTGCCGCGCGACCCAGAGACGGCACAACGTGACAAGCTTTGGTAACATCCAGACGGTCGGTTGCACGCAACTATGATGCAAGTAGATCAAGTCCACCTCTCCCCGTCCGCGTATCGGGATATGAGCAGTTCGTAAGGAAATTGCCTGGTAGCAGATCACGAGAGACGCTCACGCCACCTGCCAATTTCAATCTCACTCACCGTGCTTCAGGTATCGCGCCTTTTGCCTACTGCCAATGCCGGAGCAACACCGATGGTTGGATATTTGACCGCCCCTACCAGCCCTCCTTACCAAGCTCACCAAGACGTGCAGCCACCCCGCCCCGGCCTCCCTCCAACACCGCCACCATCTTTGCAGTCATCACCAACACCCCTCATTTCAATTTGGAAATCCCCCAGACGTGTGCCGACAGCCGAGCTCTGCTGTCATGTTTGCCATATACCGATTGTTTTTGTCTTGTTTTCCCTTGGTATGTATCACATTCAAGACGCTGCAGATCCAACTCGCCAAACCAGGCAGCTTAACCGATTTCGTACAACGGCCCAAACATGTTCATTTCATCTTGTTTTCATGCGTCGGGGTTCCGCGTCTCCGCGACTTTTATTCCCGCATGCCATGTGGTTTTCGGTAGTTCGAGTGCCTTTCTGCCCGTCGAAGCATCGGTTGCGATAGCCCCAGTCCGTCGACGCTGGAACCCAAACTATTGAATGGCTTGCGACTAGCTCTGAGCTTGCATGAGCTTGCTGCCAACAACCATCACTTGGACT